GGTCAAAATATTGGTTATGTAGGATAATTAGGAAGGAAGCCCGCGCTGATGCGCGGGCATTTTGCTTATTGATGATAAAAAGAATGCTAGCATATATAACGTAAAAGTTGCAGTTTTGTGATAATTTCCCACGCTATTGTTGCAGCAAACTGAAACATGTCGCTAATGTTGCAGCAAACTGATAGTTTTGTCACTAAAATTGTAGTTTTCTTAAATTTACTCCTTTTTTTCTTTTTTTTTTGCAAATAAAAGGTAATATACTATTTGTTCTCCATTATATTGAATATGGTGACATAGTAGATATAAACGATAAGAATCTCTCTCAAATTAAAACAAAAACCACTTAGTCCCGCTTAGATGTAAACTCGTCTATCACCACTATAGATTATCATTGTCTTGAAAGGAATTGTATTTGTACCATCAAAATAAGCCTAACATATCATTAATACAATAAAAAAATCATGCACACTTCACACATAAGTGTTCATGTCTTACTTATGTTTAAATTTATGTATAAATACACTAAAAATACCGTTTCTAGCAATTAAAAGAATAACACCATTAAAATTATATATGAATGCCCCGCTAACGGAGAAACTGACTATATCAGCTTGGGATTTCTTCTCTGATGTCTTTAAATATGCATCCCACATTGATGTTGTGCCCCTCATGACCGACATGGAACGCGAATACTTTATGCCTACTTTAGAATTAACATGTACACTCATAGAGGATTGCATAGATAAGTAGGCCAGATGAGCCATATTGCCAACGGTTGACTTCCACTTGGGCCACCTCAACTCAGTCATATGCATATCCCTGTACACTTATGGCAGCATAGCAATTTTTATTTGTTCACTCTTGGTGTCCTCGAGGGAAGGAAAGAAAGAAGATGGAGATGATGAAAATATTTTTTTTAGTTTTGAGTCCATTTGTGATATAGAGTAGACAAAATTTTGTTTATACTAAATTTTAGTGGTATAGCTCGAATATTTTCTTTTGAAAATGAGCATGGTTGGAGTGCGTTTATACTCGCGTCAGTGGAGTGTATGATATAGATCAATCACTTATATCCGACATACTGAAATTTCTATCAACTATAATAAAATATGAGATAAGTAGTTTATGCGGTTATCGCCAGATTGTTCAATCGTTGAATAAATATTTGGCAAAGAAAAAACTTACATGTACGACCATAATTCTCCCGATGTAAATATTATTTTTGAACGTTTTCACATCTATGTACCATGTATGCTTATTGCTCCTCAAATACCATCCAAATACTTTTGAATCATCCAAACAAACTTTAAGAATATACATGAAATTAAAATTAAAATTTGATAAGCATGAAAAACATAGCTAAATTTTGTTGTTTTCATTTTTGCATATATATAGATTCAAATTAGCGTTGAACATTTGTCTACTGATATTTGAAACCATACAAATATACTAATATGACATGAAATTATTTAAAAATATCATAACACCAATTACTACATATCGATGCATATGTCATGATGTATTTAGCCCTATATTATAGCCATTATGAGTCATTGATGATTTGCTTAATTAAAGGAATACAACATGATGGTAAATTGCATGTATAATTTAAAAGTTATGGACGTTTAAAGACCGGTGATATATGATGGTATATTGGTATAATATGTTGTTAAGTTTTCTACTTTTCCTAGACTATTTGCATAACATATAAAATGTTACAACATAGTTTCATGTGCATTTTTTTTAATAAAAACATAGTGCTTAACATATTTTCTTAAGAAAAAGCTGGCACTCTATTCAATCATATTGAACAAATTAAGTACAATATGCCTAAAAAAATAATAAACTCAGTGGTAGCGAGAAACACATGGAAAAAAAATATTCGATCGAGTAATAATCTCACTAACTTGAGTTAGCGGGTTTTGATATTATTATAGATCTAATATTTCTTTATACTTTTCTATGTTTTCCTTAATACTTATATCATAACCCCGCACTATATTGAAGAATGTGTAAAGATAAGCTATATCTAAGAATACTCGTGTGTTACGCAGTTATTATAGATCTAAGTTAGCTATGCATGTTGGTGAGCTAATGGTTGTCAAATTTATTTGTATTAATTGTTACAACTATTTGGATGAGAAGGACGTGCAAAGGGAAAAAATGTCAATATATTTATCAGAAAATGTTAGGGTCAAAATTCGTAAATGAATATAGTGTGCACTATTAGTTATTCAACTATAGACTATTGTCGATAAGAAAGGCTATAATAAAATATTTCGACAATGAATATTATGCATATGCAGGTGGGCTTTCAATAGGATTAGTGAGATCAAATATATGATGCTGTGTTCCGTCTATATAAACATGTGTTAGAAGGCGCATTCACATGATGTGAGTGTGGAGTTGCGCATGTAGTGGTGTGTATGCGTGTTCGTCTACTGTCTAAAATAAATAAATAAAATATTCCATGTGTGAACAATTTTTTAATTAACTTTTAGTTCAGATAAAAATTTAGTTTATATTGTAGATAGATCCTATTTTAAATAATGAACTATGGTTTAAATAGTCAACTATGGTAAAAAAAGAGAGTAAAAGGAACCGTATAGTAAGGTGCGGACCATAAACGGCCATGTATACAAACATAACAACTTCCAATCTGAGAATTAACAATCCGAGAATTAAGAGGGAATGATGGATTTTCTTTTTCTTGATTATATCTACGTGTTTTATTTTCTACTTTTTTCAGCGAATAGCGAGTACCATATGTACTTATATTTGGGTGGACGGATAGTAGATACATATACAAAAATAACAACTTTTGGCTGCGTTCACAAGTCTAGGTTCCCATCCTCGTTTCGCACACATACACTTCCCGCTACTACTAAACGGTGTATTTTTTTGCAAAAAATATTTTATAGAAAAGTAGCTGTAAAAAATTATTTGAATCCATTTTTATGTTTTTAAACTAATACTTAATTAATTAATCATGTGCTCGTTTTCTTATTAGGATGGAAAGACGATTATTGTTTTCCCAATCTTACATACGTGCGTAGGTAGTATATGTATATATGTTTATGAACTGCGTACGTATTTTTCTTGACGTACGTACATGGATACATATTGCCTTTGATCTACTGATAAAATCTTTGACAGGCACGTTAGTACAGTTTTGTGCTGTGATTATAGATGAATGATTTTTGATAGGTGCACAAATTATTGTGCAGATTATGTATCGTGCTGAGTTGTTGTATATAAGATATATATTCAAATGATGGCAATATGTCAGATTTGTTCTTCCTCTTCCTGAGAGCTACGTTTCTCGTGCACAAACATTATTAGAAAAAAAGGAAAAGTCCCAACACACAGAAGTTGTCTCGTAATTACATATACTGTAGATTAGGAAGGAGGGTTTCTATCGTGTCGTTTAGAAGGGTGGATTACTTTTTTTTAACATCTAATCTAATGGTCCAAAATAACGGGTCCACCAATTTAAATGAAAATTAAGGGTTAGATGTGTTTCTGCCATGTGGCGGTTTAGGAGCGTTTTTAGAGTGCCACGTGGCGGTTTAGGAGCGTTTGTATGAAGTTTAATGAACTTTTAGTATATAATAGAAGATAGATATTTGTCGAGCTTTTAAAATTCTCACTTTTTTTTGTGAAATACGGTGCAAAATTAGGCACTTATAAACATGTGAATGACATACTTTGAGATTGGTGAAGTCATCGTAAACGTCTCGTCAAGCCATAAGACTTTAGCATAGATGGGCATGTTCTTGAATACATGTTGGTTCCCTCCGACAATCAATTTTGTATAAAGTAAATGATCTATATATCTCAATTCCTTTTTTTTAAAACTAAGCATCTAAAGAAATGGATCATATCCTAAACATCAAATATTTATTGGAGGGAATATTTGTAAAAGGAAAAACAAAATGGTATTTTTAGGTATGTGCAACATCTTGAGGAGCTCAGGTTCAATTGATAGAACCGTCGATCAATCGCATTAATTGTAGTCTTATAGTTACCTGAGATCATCACCACATGGAGGAGAAGAGGGGTGGCTGTGTTTACAACCCCATGTTCCCAACCCCTCTCCCTCGTTTTCCACGCGCACACTTTTTAAACTACTAAATGATGTTTTTTTTTCAAAAAGTTTATATACGAAAGTCGCTTAAAAAAATCAAATTAATCTATTTTTTTTAAAAAATAGCTAATACTTAATTAATCACACGCTAATGGACCGTTCCGTTTTCCGTGTGGAGGCACTATCTTCCGAGCCTGAACATGCGAACACAGCCTAAAGAAGAGAAGGGAGAAGCCGGGAGAGAGAGCTCAACCTAATGCAAGGGGTAAATGAATAAATAAACAATTATTTTATGTTGGGGCTATTGTATTAGAGATAGCTATTGCATATGTTAACTTTTAATTGATGAGTTGACAGTGTGGAAAAAATTGAGTTGATAATGTGGAAAAAGTTAAAGGTAGCAATTAGCTTTGCTATAAAACTTATCCTTCAAATGGCATTAATTACAAAGGGAACGTAACTCATCTGGTTAGGTTTCTTCTGATGAAACCAACTTACTGTTGACAGAGATGATTGTATTTACGACTAATTATTTTTTCGGTGTAGGCGATGTATTCGTCGATAGCGAGGCGTCCGTGGTGACTCGTCAACTCAACATATGCCGTTCCAGTCGTTTGAAGTTTCTCTTTTGAAGTTGCTTATAGAGTAAGACGTGCATGTGTACGTTCAATAGAGTGAGGATGTGTACGCTGTGAACACCTGCGATGCATTGTACTGTGTTTCTTAAAAAAAATGTTATTACTTGGACGACAGGTAATGTAAAAACGAAGCCAGGCCTACTGATACTAACGATCACGGCCCATCAACGCACGTCGATGCCCATTCGAGGCCATCAACACGGCCCACCCAGAAACGGCCGCATCAATCCGGGCACGAATCTCGAGGCAGAGCCCCACCGCCTTCCGCTTCGCTTCGAGAGCCGCGTAGCGAGAGACAAAAACCCCTCTCGTCCTCCTCCCGCCGCCGCCGTCTCGACCTCGCAGCCTAGGGTTTGCCCCCCTCTCCTCCTTCCAGAAGCTTCTAGACGCTCGTGGGGGGAGCATCCGCCGCCGCAGCAGCCATGGCGTCCACCAAGGTCCAGCGTATCATGACCCAGCCCATCGTACGCTCCTCTCTTTCTCCCCTCTTCCTCTTCTTCCCCCTTTGGTCTCAGAAGCCATGGATTGTTTCAGCTGTATTTTTCCTAATATGTTTGCTAATCTTTTTTTTGGTGTTTTTCTCCTTGTGATTTTGGCGGGCGTCGTCGGTGGCGGCAGAACCTCATCTTCCGGTTCCTCCAGAGCGTAAGTGAATTGGGAAATTTCGGTGTTTTTTTTCTTCTTTTTTTTGACTGTCGACGTGTGGTTGGTTTGAAATTAACCAAATTTGATTTGGTGGTGCAGAAAGCGCGCATCCAGATCTGGCTGTTCGAGCAGAAGGATCTCCGGATTGAGGGCCGGATCATTGTGAGTTCCTAAGCTGATCTCTTATTCAGAATTTTAGATTTTAGTGCTATTCCTCTAGTTGAACACACAATAAGCAATGGAAGTGCGTGTAGTATGAAGATTATGAATGGGGAATTCTTGTAGGGGATGAGTTACATAGATATATATATTTTTGAGGTTAATGTTGGCAACTTAAATCCTAAAGAGCCTAACCAGTAGAGAACAAATAAGAGAACCCTATAGTAAGTGCGGAGCACATCTTTTGGTCTGTTTTGTTGAAACCAAACATGCAAATGCATCTCCGCAAATTGTGATTCCTTGGGAATCCATATGAGCATTATCGAATCTTCTGCTGATGTTATCAGTCGGAGGCTACTAGTAAGCTCTTAATTTGATCGCTAACTGATGGCATGAGCTCAGTACACTAGAAGGGTCTCAACTTAAGCTAGATAGATGTTATTAGACAGGCCAATTTCAAAAGCTGAAACATATCGAGATTCAGATTTTGAAAATTAACAAACAACTATGCTTATATGAGTTATTGTCCTTCCACTTGAACCCCGGAAAAACACACCTTTTTCCATATAAAAGCTAACTTTTGTCTCATCAGATAATGATTGAATTTCCGCAAGATGTCATCAGATAATGATTGAATTTCCGCAAGATGTTTTCTATAATGTGTCCATGTAGGGTCATAGGCATTATCTGAGTTTGGAAGAGCTAGGTTTATATTTACTTTGATTGCCATTCAGACTAGAAGGAAAGGTTTTACAGTGAATGCCAATCATATTGTTTATACTTATTTGGTGTTTCAGTGTTTGCAATAGAATTAGAAATGCAGTAATGACCAGTAGCTGTATTATGTCATTGCTGAATTTTCTATTGTCCTAGATGAAATAGTCCTATGGGCAAACGGTTATCCCAAATCTGGCGCCACTTGCAGGACCTACTTTGTAGCTTCTAGTGTTGGCTAAATATTTGTTCTTCAGTGCAGTACTCGCTGATTAATCTATCATTTGACGCTTAAGCTCATGAGTAACTTGGATCAACCTGAACCATTGGGCCACTATTACATAGGATTATCTAACAATACTATGTACAGCTCCAGGAACCTTAAAAAGCTCATTTGTTTTACTACTTGTTACATTCTTACCCTTCACCTTTTTATATAACCATTTTAGATGACAGTATAATGCTTATGCTATGTGCTTGGTTGCCTTCCTGTTGTTTCATGGTTTGCTGATGTGGCGTATACATATTTTTTCAATTTCTTTCGTGGTTTGCTGATCATTTCTTTCCATGTCTGAATTGCATTGAAATACCATTCTGCGAATAAATTTAAATTTAGAATTCGAGCTAAAGATGTGGCTTGTTCTTTGTGAGTGTTACTGTACGTTCAAGAGCCATATTCAGTTTGAATGCTTTCTCAGTATGTGCTGTGCTGGTTTGCATGCATATATGGAGTATTTACGCTAGCTGTATATGTTTGGCAGGGCTTTGATGAGTACATGAATTTGGTCCTTGATGATGCTGAGGAAATCAACGTTAAGAAGGATACTAGGAAATCATTGGGTCAGTTAATTTGCAACAATATTTGTTACTATTTTTAATTAATTAGATGGAACATTCTGACTATAATATTGTTGGAAATGATTTGCAGGTAGGATACTATTGAAAGGCGATAACATAACTCTGATGATGAACACGTAAGGATTATCATTAAACTCAATATCTGAACTCCTGTAATTGCATGTGACGTGTTCTCTAACATCTGCAATTTCAACTTCTGCAGTGGGAAGTGAATTTTCTCCCCAAGGTTGGCGTTTGTGACTTTGTGTCGATTAGTCCCGTGATACTTTGTACTCCATCTAGATAATCAGAGAATGAAATGCATGTAGCATGTCATCGTCATCGTCCTCAATTGAGGATATGTAACGGCTGTTAGCAACCTATGAACTCTGTGAACTCTAGGCAAGGTTGTTGAGATAATGAGTTGCTCACTTGTGTGTTTAAGATTCCTGATCCCGTGAATCAATCCTGCTCACTTATAACACGGACAATTGGAGCAATTCTTGTTGTACCTCGTCTTCTTCCCGTATCTATGTTATAGATAGTCTTGAGCATGAATGCATGATCGTGAATTACTAAAATGCAGGATGAACACATGATAAACATATGTTATGCACAGTTCTATTAGGGACATGGCATTACTGCCATATTGCTTGAAAAGGAAATCTCATGGAGATCTTGTTGATGTCTTCTGTTTATATACTGTGTTGCTAGAGATATGGTGAGTTGTTAAGGGAATAATCCATATCGTTTACCCCCTAAAGCTCAATAAAAACCAATAAAAACCTTATGGTGTGGGTTGATATTTCGGATCTGTGAAATAATCAAAGTTTTTCTCTCACACTCTCTACATGACTACACAAATTAGTGAATTACCGTGGATCTACCATTGTGAACTTGAACTGTGTTAGATAAACATCACGATCATCATCTATTATTGAATATAAATCTAAATTCGCACGAATTTTGAAATCAGAGCTCAAAAACGTACCCTAAACATGTGTACAAAATCACAATTGTATATCACATGGTAAAAAACATTCAGAACGCCAGAGTACAAACAAGCTAGGATCAAAAGAGGGAGAACCACTTGGTTTTAGACTTGTTCTTGCTCATCATCTCCTTCCTCTTCCTCTCCCTCTCCTTCTCAAGTTTTTCTTCTTCTTCCTCCTCCTCGTCCTCGCTACTGACGCTGCTGCTCGTCTGATCCTTCTCTTCCTCCTCCTCGTCGTCATCCTTCTTGGTGGATTTCGCCTTGCCGGCGCCGGCCGTGGCGACGTCGAGCCGCGCGGCGTCCATCGCCCACCGCATCACCTTGTCCACCTCGTCGTCCTCGTCCTCGTCCGACTCCCCGCCCAGATCCTCCAGCCTCACCCTCGTCTCCTTCTCCGGCCCCGCCGCCCCCTTCAGCGCTGCGAAACGCGCCTCCAGCTCGTCCATCCCGCCGGCGGCTGCGGCGGAGGGAGCATCGGGTTGCTTCGGCTTCGGATCCGGCGGGCGGTGAGACCTGAGCGCGTCGAAGCGGCGGGCGAGGTCGGCGTCGAGGGGATCTGCGGCGGCGGCGGCGGCGGGGTGGTCGAGCGAGGGAGGAAGATTCGGAGCGGTGGCCGAGGACGACGAGGAGACGAGGTGGGAGTTCGCCTGCAGCTTGAGCATCACCGCGTCCTGCGCCGCGCGGAGGAGCGCTTCCACCTCCGCCTCTTCGCCGCCGGTGACGGCCGCCTTCCGGCCGCCGCCGCCGCCGCTCATCGTGGTGGACTCGTGGGTGGGGGACTTTTTTCTAATTTTTCTCCACTTTGTTTGCTGCTTTAATGACAGTATGGTGGGCCCAAAAATTGTACTAGGCCAACATGAGTAGAGCCCAATTTAGTGATCAATGGGCCGGGCCGATTTTACGGCCCACGATGCCAAGCTATTATTAATCCCAGCCTAATTCTAATCCCTACCTTAATTAAACCATTTTTCCCCACAGAAAAAAAATATTATTAACTAAACAAAAACCATCCTGCTCCACTGTGCCTTTCAATCCACGCGTCCGTCGCCGTCGCCGCCTCGCGCGCATGGACCACCACCCGCCGCCGCCGTCGCCGCCGCGGGACTCCGGCGGCAGCCTCGAGGTGCGCCTCTTCTACGTCCGCCTCTCGCCGCGGGGGCCCACCCCACCGCCCCGCCTCGCGCTCGCGCTGCGCAGCAGCCGCGGCGGCGACGAGGAGGAGGCCCCGACGCCCCTTTCCCTCCCGCTCCGCCTCGATCGCCGGGACCCGGCCTCCGGCGAGGCCACCTACGTGTCCACCGCGTCCGCCCGCCTCCCCCCACCCTCCGCGGCCTTCGAGGTCGCCGACCACCGCGGCGCCGCGCTGCTCCGCGGCTCTCTTCGGCGGTGCCCTGATGCCAAGCCCGATTCCTCCCCCGCCTGGGCAATCGACTGCATCCCCGCCGCGGGGGCGGAGGCGGAGACCTCCGCGTTCGAGGTCTACGTCGCCGGATGCTGCGCCGGCGAGCCCGCCGTCCTCACGTGCGCTCTTCGGCTAGCCACCCCCGAAGAACAGAAAGCTGCCGGCGGGTTGGTCCGCCGCCGATCGCCGACTTCGAACGTGAGTATATTTTAATTAAGGTTATGATGCTTGATTTTATCCATTAGTATGACTTGTTAACGAAATATCTGTGATGGACAAACAATTATAGCAACAGAATTGGGTTTCTAATATGTTTATAATTGTGTAGACTTCAGAATGTGGCTGTGTGGCGTGAGGTCACAAGCAAAGCTTATCATAACACAAATTGGTGGACTTTTGTCCTAATTCTTGGCTGTGTGAAAATGTTTGTTTCAATCCTGCTTATGTATTTTGCTTGTAGGTTCAAAGTTACTCTTAATTAGCAGGGGAACCTTGTTGTTATCTATACTGTTGCTGTCAGCAGAGGAGTTAGGAAATTTTTCAAGCCCGGGCAAACTCAAATATACCTAATATTTGCTACAATATTTCTAACTTTAATCCTTTGAAAAAAAAATAAAAATTCAATGGTGTATTTGACGGCGAGCCTGGGCGGCTGCCTGTGCAGGCCGGGTGGTGGCTCCGCCACTGGTTGCTGTGTATAGTATGGTGGTTATGGTTGGTAATAGTAGAGCTATCTAATGTTAACATGCTTTTCCATATTATTAAAAGAATTATCTTGACTATTTGTGTACTACAACTATAGCTTTCTTGTGTTAAAGACTTAAAATACATAATCGAACTGTTGAACAAGACCTGATTCATACTTCTAAGTTTGACATTCATACTGTAGAATATACAATGCTTACAACAAGCTTCAACTCAGCCTTTGGTTGTCTGTGCTGATTTTTAAATTGTGTTAAAAAGGTTGTGAAAAAACTATCATTCTATTTGGTAAATCAGCGTAAGATAGATAATTGTTTTTCCTAGAAAAGTATAACAAGTGGCATATATTATGTATGAACGGTATAATTGTGGTTTTGAAGTGCTTGTCTGGAAGTTGAAATAGGTATTGTTATACGAGGTTTCGACATTTCACATTTGCTGATAACACACCAGTTACAGTTAGTACCTTAGGTTTGTAAAATCAGTCTCTTAGTTCAAATGCCACAATAGGTAATGCTGGTTTTGGTTGATCCTTGTTGGTTCTTCATGAATTATATGTGGATTGTGGAGTTTTCTTTTGACAATGCTTGCCAAGTTATGGTCAAGCTAGACAGAGGTCATTATCATAGCCTCATATGCATGCTAATGTCAGGGATGTTTGGTTTTATCTTCTATGACTGGATGCTCAGTGACATTTGAAATGACAAGACATTGGAAAGTTAGGGTGTAATTAGACTTTCTTATAGCAAATGCGATAATGTTTGCTTTGATCCTTTGCTTGTTGGATGACCGAAACAAGATGGTTTACGAATAAACATGTGCTGTTTAGAGCTTATAATTCAGAACGTTATGCTCAAATTCCTATTAATTAGTATAAACTGCTTTGGCAGGCTGCTGGTGATGAAGATGTCAATGGAAGTATACAGCATCCAGAAGGTTGGTACTCCGACGATGATGACGGGCAACTCACATGGTTCAATGCTGGTGTTAGAGTTGGTGTTGGGATTGGCCTGGGAGTTTGTGTGGGTGTTGGTATAGGTGTTGGCCTCCTCATGAGCTCATACCAAGCAACAGCCAGAAGCCTGAAGAGGCGATTCTTCTAACGCCGTTGCGTTGAATACACAAACTTTTGATGGCCGGTAGCAGTATAGAGTTGGTTTGGTTCTGTTTCAAAGGGCAGAAATATCATTGTATAGTTGGTGGATGTGTTGTTTATGTGTGAGGTGTTGTGTTGCTTTTGCTTGTGCAGTTTTTGAGCCCCTGTGCATCCCTCTCAGTTCTATGTGAACTGTGAATGTCCTCTGACATGTGAAAATGTTCTCAACTTTCAACAAGGAGAAACTGATGAATGGGAATGATGGATTGCCAATTCAGTCATCTACGTTTGCATAAGGCTGGAAACTACTGGAGGTATTATTTCTCTCTCTCTTTGTAATATAATGATCAGATATTGTGAACGAAATGGAAGTACTTTAGTGAACAACTTTCTACTAGTACTTACTAGTATTTGCCAGCACCATATAATTATTAACACTTCTTTTTTTTTTTGCGCATTTCTTGTGTTTTTTTAATCTGTGCAGTTAAACACTGTTTAGCAATGGCAGAATGTCAGGATTATATATATATATATATATATATATATATATATATATATATTATATAAACTGAAACAACCACTCACTGAATATTTTGGTTTTCCGTAGGAAATTTTGTGGCAATCGTGTATCACGCTGAAATATAATAGAAAATGGAACAACAAACTTTCAAACTTCGAGTGTGTTTAGTTCACGTTAAAATTGAAAGTTTGATTGAAATTGGAACGAAAGTTTGTGTGAGTAGAAAAGTTTTGATGTGATGAAAAGTTGGAAGTTTGAAGAAAAAGTTAGAAACTAAACCGGGCCTTCATGGACGTTGTAATCTCAATTTTTTTTTTCATACGGAGCCATAGCTTTTAAATTTATAGAAGTTTTTAACATTCGAAAACCATTGGGAGAGAATCGGAAATCCTCGCCAAAAAAAACATAAAAAACACGGGGGATTTTCCTTCACATAGTAAAAGTATTCTGATTGAATTTGGAAAGTAATTACGCTAATTTCTAAACCATAATAAACAACACCAGTAAACGAAAAATAATCGTCGTCCCGCCACGAAAAATTTTGAAACTCGCGAACTCGCGGGAAACCAAACGCGCTCAGCCGCTCAGGCGCGAGCGGCTTCTTTTCCCCTCCTCTCCCAAATCCAACCACAAGAAGAGGAGGAGGAGGCCACCGTTCGCATCCGCCGGATGCCACCGCCGCCGACGACGACGACGCCGCCATGACCGGCGCCGCCGCATGGCCGGTCTGCACCATCTGCTACGAGGACCTCCGCCCGCTCTCCGACCAGCACCTCCACTGCCTCCCCGCCTGCGGCCACGTCTTCCACGCCCTCTGGTTCGTCCTCCACCTCGCTCCTCCTCCTCTTCGAATCGATCCGGCAATGGCGGTCTGGATGATTCTTCTTGAATCTTGAGCAGTTTGGAGCAATGGCTGGAGTACTGCCCGGGCGGGAAGAAGAAGCTCACCTGCCCCATCTGCAAGCAGCCATGCGGCGCCGCCCACCCACCGACCCGCCTCTTCTTCCAATCCACCGGCGCGTGCCCCACGCAGACCGCCTCCTCCTCCCCCTCGCGGCACGAGCCCACCGATGGCGGCGCCGACCGGGATGAGCTCGCCGCCGAGGTCGCGCGGCTGGAGCAGAAGGCCGCCTCCCTCGGCAGGGTGCTCGACGAGCAGCGCGACGGGATCCAGAAGCTCAACGCCGAGGCGAGCGCTGCTGCTGGCCCCCCGAATTTGGGTGGATCTTGTGTTGGGTTTGCGTCTCGCTTTGGATTTCTAATGGTTTCTTGGTGATTTTTGGTTCAGGTTGCTATGTGGAGGGAGAAGGCGGCCGAGGCGGAGGTGATGAAGGAATCGGTCAGGAGGGAGAAAGAATGTGTTCAGCATCTGCTCAATGCGAAAACAGAGGTAAAATCGATCGATTCAGCACCTGATGTTTGATGGATTAGTGGATTGATGAAATTGCATTTGTACTTCATGACAGGAATTGTCAAGGAAGTCATCAGAATGTGGCAGGTTGCAGGAGAAGGGCCTCTCATTGGCGAAGGAACTTGCAGCATTGAAGCTGTATGTTTGTTCATTTCCACCTGAAAGATGCAAATGTTTGTGTTTGATAAGTGGAATGTATTTAGTTTTTAGAGTATAATTTGTTTTGTCCATTAGGTCGACAGATATGAACCTTCAGGAGGAAGAGATCCTTAAGTTGGCATCACTTGGTAACCATGGAAATGCTGCGAATGCGGTTGATGTTTTGACGAGATCTCTTGCTCTTCGGAACAAGTAAAATTTCCTCTTTATTATACTTATCTTGAAGCGGTGTGTTTATGGTTAATTGCATGCCTTTAAGCATAATTAACTGATGATAGGGTTTATTAACCACTTATGTACTTGTTATGCTGGTAATAGTTGACCAATAACTGAAAGCATGCTATCTGCTTTAGCTTTCTGTGTCGAATAGTATATGCAAATGGATGCAGAGCTTTGTACTTTATCGAAGTGTGAGGTTATCAAACATAAATTGTAGTGAGTGCTTGTGTTACAAGATTTATGGGGGTTTTATGGTCAATTTTGAGAATGAAATAAACATTCTTGATAAGCGAAATAGTTTGGATTGTATATTGATTAGTGATGGTAATAGGCTAATAGCACTTACAGAATGTACTGAGGGATGCAGATGATTTTTTTCCTAGTACAATTAGATGCACATACTCAACACACAATACAATGCGCACACATAGGCATGCAGGTTATATACAGGCCAAAGAACATACTTAACTTCATTGATTGTTCAACCAAGCTGTTCTCTATGCCAATTGGATGTGTTTAACACTAGTGAAAATTTTACTGAACATGATGAAGCTTAATAAGGCTACTGCTCCATGATTGGAATGCTTCAGTAACACGTTATTTTCCCTCTAAAAAAAGTAACACGGTCTTTTTAGGAGCTACAAAGAATTGATGATCCAATGCAATGTTCTGGGAAGATCAGAATCTCGTTCCCAGCAGAGGTTTGAGAAGGCAAAAGAACTCATTAAGAAGTTAAAGGTAAGTCCATACGGGGGGTATCTTTTTGCTGGATGTGTATTTTCAGTGCAGATAACCCTTTTTAACTACAGGCAAGAGTACAAGACCTTGAGAAGGAACAAGAAGAAAAAGAAAATGGTGTGATTAGGGACCTGAGGTCTGCAAAGAAATTTAAAGCTGACCAGACAAATTCAGGAAATACCACAGTTAATAATGGTTTCTCGGGTCTTGCTGCTGGATGTGGAGATTATCCGATGAAGCTCGATGAAGTGGTGCAGGATCCATGCGACAAGCCTGGGCCATCACCTGAAGCTAAAAATGACCTGAATATAAAAGACAAAATGGACGACAAGCATGCGGATGTGATTGACTTAGATGCTGATGATTCTGTCTTCCAACATGAACACAAGAAAGGACTTTCTGCCAAACCATTTGGGAACGATGGTAACGATTTGGATTTCAAAAGTCGGTCTAGTCTTCAAGAACATTATAGGAAGGAATCCATAACATGCAAGACATATGTAGCAGAGGAAAATTCCTTTCTAAAACCTTCCATGGTAACTGAAAGATCAGCACTTCAGGAGAGCTTTACCACAAACAAACTTCAAAGCTTTCAAGAAACTCCTGTTCTAAGAAGTATGAAAGCTACAACTTCGACATGGGAGAAAGAAACACTGACGATTGATGGCATCTCTAAACAAGCTACTAGAATGGCTCCTGGCACTGGACCCCAGCAGGTTCACAATTTCAATTCTCTTTCAGGTAAGTTATTGTATGGTCCATCAAGCAGAGATAACTTCTGAATTTAAGTTGCATAATAATATGCATATTCAAGTTCACAGGGCTATTTTTCTTTTCAACATTCTAATTTTCAGGGGGAAGAGGCATAGAACATAAATTTGACCAATATTTCTAATGAATGAGTACTTGATTCTGAAAAAATGCTTAACAAACTTTCTGTTTAATGACCTCCTTTTCTTATTACCAATTCTTTGAATATACTGATGTTCCTTTTTCAGCACATGTACTTAACAACATTGTTTGAAGCAAATTGTGTTTTGTTTACAACCAGATGACTTCCAAATACCAATTAGAAATCTTGGTGGAGAGGGAACAGGAAAAAGCGTCGGCAAATGGTGCAAGGGCGTAGCTACCCCTGGATCTCTCAACACAAATGCAAATAAAAGGAATCTGATCGCCGTAGGGCCAGACGGACGTGGGGGAAAGGTCAAAATTTTGAGAGATCTTGGCAAATTCCAAGTCAGTTTGATAAGTTTTCCTCATCTCCTTCCTTGTCAGACAGTAAAGTAGTTTTGTCTCATAACTAACCACCTGCATCAATCTCTGCAATGTTTGCTGCAGGATAGCAAGACTCAAGCACTATGGCCTAAGGCACAGAAGGTTGGAAGCAGAGGTGGGCAATCTCAGATAGATCATTTCTTTGGGAAGAGATGATCCTGCTGCGCAAGCTATGCTAATATATACCACTTTCAAACTCTTGCCTCTGTTGCTGCGGTCAAATTCTGTTTGGAGAACTATTTGATGTCCTGCATCTGTACTTGTGTAGAATCCATTGCACTTAAGGTGAAAGCTGAATCCAAATTTCGCAGTGTCATCACTATTGGGCCTGAGGGGATAGATAGAGCTTGTAAACAATGAGCTGTGTAGGAAACCTGAATTCCTCTGTTCCTCAGAGGCTCAGGTGGTCATGTGTACCACATTGCTAAACATTGTGTATTGATAGAGCTGAGGAGATAACAGGTGGCTTAGCTCACTTGATCCACATGCAAATACATTGCAAGCTGCCCTTTGGCTAAGTCTGAAACCTATTTGGGTTTCATTGTACTGCCAACTACTCCAGCAAAGCAAAGCTGGGAATCACAAGAAAGTTGGACACTGGGTTGAAGAAAATGACTGCAAGTTTTCCATCTGCCAAATGCCAAATGTTCTTTCATGGTAGGCACTAGAGTAGTATATATGTTCTGGTGTTATCTGGAGTCTGGAGACTGCAGAGGCTACACAACAGCTGAGCAAAATCCAATCATGGTGAGACACCAAACATGATACCTCAGTCCCTCTATTTAATTTGTGTTTGCTACTGCTAGTGTTCAACCTCTAGATTCATTGGAAATGATGTTTAGTGGTCAGTGGATAGATGGACTACTAGCTGCTTTGTCTCTCTCCCCCCTCTCAAAAGTACAAGCCAATTTTTCTTTCTCAAATTCAAAATAGCATGAAACTGTTACTCACTCACCATACAAATATATATCAGCAAACAAGTGACGAATCTTCGAATGCTGATCTTACCCTCATATGAAACATAGAAAACTTTTCCAAATCTTAAAGAAAAGAAATCTCTCTTTTCGAATATAGGCATCTCACCAAAAACTCCTCTGTTCCAAAGATCAATTTTTTTTAAAAAAAAATCATAACTACATTCAAACCATTTACACTCTTCTCTGTAAGAAAAAGTTAAGAGTAGCACGCTTCCTAAACTTCTAAATAGTATGATTTATTATATAAGAGTTTAGACATAAAAGATCACCTTAGAGAGGTGCCACAGGAAGAAAACCAAATGAATTACAGCATTTTGAGGCCGGCGTACAATCATTAAACAGTTTGGGCATCTTCATACGCTTTGCACATGTTAATAATGGAATCGATCACCTGCAATGCAACACCGTGCCATAATCACCATTGAAGATTCTAGCATTTCTTTGAAGCAATACCGTATGATTTTCTTTTAAAAAATATTTTTTATATATCAATTATTTATCACAAAATCATCCATCCATTCTTTAGTTCGGCATGAAGCAAAATACAATTTCCTAGTAGAGCATATATATGCAAAAGATCCAAAGAGGAGAGAAAAAAAAAACAATTCAATTCTCTTCTCAACTCGACGGCCATCTTCTTCTTTCTCTCTCCACTCCGTCGCCGCCCCTTGGCCTCCCTCAACGGCCACCGCGCCCCTCCTCCGCCGCCAAATCGCACCCAACCCCTTCCCCTTTAAACTATTCCACCTATAAGGCCGCGCCGCCGCCGCCGACGAGAGAGACGGCCATGACCTCAGGTTCTCCCTCCTCTCTCCGCCCCCCCGCAACTTCCTGAAATTGCATCTAGGTCCCCCTGACGCAGCGATTGTTCCCTCCCTTGGAGAGGTGGCCGTAGCTCTCCGGCGGAAGGCGGCGGAGATGGCTTCCACGGCCGCGGCGGCGTCGTCGCAGGGGTGCATCTCGTGGGCGCTGCGGCAGCGTGGGCTTGGTGGTGGTGGTGCGCGGGCTGTCCCGGTGCTTCCCCGCCGGAGATTCTGCGTCTCCGCGGCGGCGGGTGCGGGGTTCGACAACGAGAATCGCGAGTGGGTGTTTTGCTCTCTGGTTCTTTGATCCGAGCCTGATTTAGTGTTTTTTTTTCTCTGGTTCTTTGGAGTGGGTGGGTGGGTGGGTGGTGTGTCCAAGCCCAAGAAGAAATGGGATGCTCATCAGGTGTTTGATGAATTGCCGAACCCGAGTCGCAGGTATGTGATCGTGGGTGGAGGCAACGCGGCCGGTTACGCGGCGAGGACGTTCGTCGAGCACGGCATGGCTGATGGCCGCCTTTGCATCGTCTCCAAGGAGGTTAGTGCCCAATCTGGTTCAGAGTTTCGGAACACGAATTTTTGCTACTATGTTGATTAGAGAACCGGGTTAAAAGGTTTCTGTGTTCATGATATGAAAATGAATGCGTTGTTTGGTCATTGTTCTCATGTAACTGCAATGTATTGATTGGCTGATTTTTTTTTTTGAGATTTATGATGGGGTTTGCTTACTGTAATGCAGGCGTATCCGCCATATGAGCGACCAGCACTGACAAAGGGCTATCTTTTCCCTCCAGACAAGAAGCCTGCTCGTCTACCTGTAAGTAATCAGGACAACTTAATGATGATAAGTAGCATTTGTTCATGCTATGCTAGTAGGTGATGGTGTGGGTGTGCGCTACCTAAGGCCTTGCCTACTGTAAATTTCTGTATGATGGCTTATTTGGACTTCAGTGAAGTCTGCTCCAGTTTGTTGGCATTACACTTTCTGTAGTGTTCTTTTAGCTGATATGAGAGATTTGTACGCTTCACACTGAACCATTAAGGGTACAGCCCAAAGCCACCCATTTAGGCATATAGACTCAAATTCTTGAGATTCGTCTTGTTGCAGGGCTTTCATACCTGTGTTGGATCAGGTGGGCAGAGGCAGACTGCTGAATGGTACAAGGAGAACGGCATAGAGGTAGTCTTGACACTATTGTTAAACATTATTCAATGTGTTTGAAAATACAGTATGACCTCTATCTGAAGCCATTGAACTCTTATTAAGGTATTGTATGAGGATCCAGTTGTAGCGTTTGATGGCAAAACACATACCTTAAAAACTTCATCAGGGAAAATTCTGAAGTATGGGTCACTTATTATTTCTACTGGCTGTGAAGCTTCAAGGTAACCTTCAAACAGTTGAAAATTTATCTTTTGCAAGGCCCTTATATGAATTCATGATTAGAGGTTTCATGATTTTTTTCACTCAGAATTCTTAAGATAAACTTGTATGCTATAGTAATCAAATGAAAATTTCTTCACTGAGATTGTATGCATGGAATGGATACAGGCTTTATATTAAACCCAGAAGTTGTTTGTTGCCATCTGTAATGTTGATGCTTCCTTTCAGGTTACCTGCTAAGATTGGAGGAAATTTGCCTGGAGTTCACTATATACGTGATGTTGCTGATGCGGATTCTCTAGTATCTTCATTGGTATGTCCTGTCAACAAATAGTGCTAGATGTTTCATGTACACCAGAACTGGATTCTCTCATTTGACTTTGAAGAAATAATCTCAATTTTTTCCCTGCATATTCTCACCTTTTAACATTTATTGCTGAAATCATAGTTTGTTTTATCTTTATAGGGAAAAGCAAAGAAAATTGTTGTTATTGGTGGGGGCTATATTGGCATGGAGGTAGCAGCAGCAGCTTGTGGCTGGAATCTCGACACAACTGTAAGCCACAGTGTTTCCTTGTTCAGTTTTTTATGAAGACTCTTATTTGTACAAGCAATTTTCTAATTAAAGCTGCTTATAGATTATATTCCCAGAGGACCACATTATGCCAAGACTCTTTACACCTTCCCTTGCTAAGAAGTATGAGGAACTGTATCAGCAAAATGGTGTCAAATTCATTAAGGTAATAGCTTCGTCAAGTTCATTTGTTTAATTTATTTTGTCAACATATTTGAGCTCATGTATATTTTGTTCCAACCAGGGAGCTCTTATTGATAAACTTGAAGCTGGCTCTGATGGTAGGGTGTCATCTGCAGTACTTGAAGATGGATCTGTAGTTGAAGCTGATACAGTTACGACCTTCTTCTTCTTCTTCTTCTTCTTCTTTTGTGCAAATATCTTGTTTCATCATCTTAATTATTTGTTGCTCAGGATGAAAGTATGTTATCAAAAATTGCCTTGAATATTTGCATATGCTGTGGATTATCAAATATTGCCTTAATCATGAGTCACATATGTTGAGGAGTGGTCAAATACTTGGCGAGCTGATGTAAACTAAGTGAAGATCAGCTCATTCCAAGCAGCATCACTGAGACATTTAAACTAGTTTTTTTTTTGTTATATTTGATCATCCGTGCAGTCACTGACACTTCTAAAATTATTTTAACAAGAACATTTGTCAATTCAGGTTATTGTTGGTATAGGAGCAAGACCAGTTATTGGCCCATTTGAAGCTGTTGGGGTCAACACTAAAGTTGGTGGAATAGAGGTTTGTTTTCAATTATTGATGATAAAGTTAATGAATCTTGTTTTATTCTCATATTAGTCTGTAGTTGTTTTACTTTTGTACTAGTAGTCTGCATTCTGCAATGTGATCTATGGCAGTTATTCCTGGAACAAAAAATAAAAAACCACTACATTCCCCATGAAATTTCCGAGCATCTGTGCTTGTTTTGATCTTCATGTGCGAAACTTGAGTAGGATCGATTTTACAGCGCACCAACTGACTCATATTAGATGATTTTTTCAGTTAAAGCCTTGGTATTGTATTCTTTTTTTGCTTTGGACATGTTAATATGTTATCCTACACGTGTTTCATAGATGTTTGGCATCCTGATAATCAATTGCTATATCTTACTTTCTCCGTTTCATATTATAAGACTTTCTAGCATTACCCACATTCATATATATGCTAATGAATCTAGACATATATGTGTGCCTAGATTCATTAACATCTATATGAATGTGAGCAATGCTAGAAAGTCTTATAACCTGAAACGGAGGTAGTATTTCTTAATAGAGCTAATTAAGTACTTCTTTTACAGGTTGATTCCTTGTTTAGAACTAGTATACCTGGTATCTTTGCTATTGGAGATGTAGCAGCTTTTCCCCTCAAGGTAGGAGCTCACTGCGTTTATCTTATAATCATGAAGAATTGGATTCCAGAATATGATGTTCTGTCAAATTCTTTGGCAGATGTATGATAGAATGACTCGAGTTGAGCATGTGGATCATGCTCGGAAGTCTGCACACCACTGTGTTGAAGCACTCCTAACATCACACACAAAGCCGTAAGTTAATGGGTAGAAAGTGTACTGCATTAGTTCATCTGCTAGTGCTGCTTTAATTTGCCATTACGATGCAGGTATGACTACCTTCCATATTTCTATTCAAGAGTTTTTGAGTACGAAGGAAGTTCAAGGAAAATTTGGTGGCAATTTTACGGTGATAATGGTACAGTATATAACATAAGTAATTCCTACTACATAACGCATGTCCTGTTAGACTTCAAAATCACAAACTCAATACCCTCTCTGTTGTGCTGAGCAGTTGGCGAAACAATTGAAGTGGGAAGCTTTGAACCAAAGATTGCTACCTTCTGGATTGACTCTGGTAATCAGTTGTCTTTCACTCTAGAGTATCTTTGTACTCTCATTTGCACATCTTATTACCTTTGCCTTCTTGTACTGTGCAGATAGTCGACTGAAGGGTGTTTTCCTTGAGAGTGGTAGCTCAGAGGTAATAAACTACTGGCATAACTTCTGTCATAACAAAATACTACCTCCGTGCCCAACGTTTGACCGTCCGTCTTATTTAAAAATTTTGAAAATATTTAGTCACACATAAAGTATTATTCATGTTTTATCATCTAATAGCAATAAAAATACTAATCATAAAAAAATTTCTAATAAGACGAACGGTCAAACGTTGAACGTGAATAGTGCAAAACTGCACTTATTTTGGGACGGAGGGAGTATTTGCTTATTTGGATCTTTCTTTTCTGTTCCTTTGAACTTAATTCTGAACTGCAAGTTATTTGACTATAAGCAGCATACCTAGTTCTGATGAAACCTCCACCATATTTCAGGAATTTTCGCTTCTTCCTCAACTCGCTAAGTCTCAGCCCGTTGTAGACAAAGCTAAGCTCAAAAGTGCAACCTCTGTCGAGGATGCCTTAGAGATCGCAAGAAGCTCTCTCCACTCTGGTTCTTCTGTTTAGCTCTCAAGCATCTAGAAAAATTCAGTTTGTGTCCTGTTACATCTTTTAAAACACCGAGACTTCAACAATAATTCTCCACAATCCCACGGCATTCGTTTATGCGGGATTGTAAAATTCTTAGATGTACCTACGTTCGCATTTCCAATTTGAAATAAACTTGGTTGCCCTTTGAGGGGTTTGATAAAGATATGATAATGAAACCCATGGAATGTTACTTTCTCTCATTCTCTCCAAACTGTTGTTACCGGTTAAAGAAGGGGTCACTGTAAGTGGGGTCAGCATCCTGGTAGAAGTTTAATAACGGGTCTGCATACCATGGCTTGTACGAAAGGACGATTTCGTTTTCTGAGCAGTGCTTCACTGATATTCTTGTTTATGCAGTTTATATATATATCTAACCTACACAAAACCAGGAATTGTTTGTCCTAGTAGTATTCTCTGTACTAGTTTATGACAAGGCCAAGCCCAAATGATCACCATGACAACGTGGTGGAATTATTCTTGTGTCATTTATTTAATCATGGCTCATGTATCTGATAAATACTTGACTTCTCTTATTCTGAATCATACTACTGCATTTTTTTTTGTTCTATGAAATGGTCATGTACTGCATGTGAGCAGAGTTGCAAATGGAATAAATCGTATTCATGCGAACAGAGTTTCAAATGGAAGTCAGGCAGCCAATAATAAATCGCATTCAAATGGACTTCGTTGGGTTCATACATCCAACGGCTTCATAGTTTAAAGACCACAATTAATCAGTTTGCTTGTTCTGCAGCCTAGCTTTGTTTTCTGCTGATTATTGTAAATTAAGAATTATTAATCACCTGATTCTGTTAGTACAGGCACAAATAACGCTGTCACCCGCAGGACTTGAACTGAAATTGGGATTCAAGTTTTTAAGTTACAAAACATAGTAAACTCGTATTTTCTTCCTTTATTATAAGGTTATATAATCACACGTGCTTGATATATTTTTATTCTGGTGTTTTCACAAATATTGTTTCTGCTGGATAGGTTATGGGTTGGATGCTGATATACTAGTAAAAGAGTTGATTTAGATAAGAAAGAAATTACAGTACTCTACAAACAGGCAATTCTTGCAAGTTAAAACATGTTGATCAGTTCATATGCATATGATCCATAATTCAATATACCATTCAATATCTATGGCTTGGTTCAAGAGAAAGTGTTGTGAAATTTACACTCCAATACCTCCATACATGCAAAAATATGATGTGCCATGAATCTTCCTTACATTACTATCATTTTTTAAAAAAAAAATCCTTGGAATATGCACAAGAATATAATCTATTTGAATATATGCCTTCGTCACATCCAATCAAACTCTTCCTGGCAGGAGGCCACAAGACAATGCAGGTAAAACACTGACTCACCATTAATCTCCTTGTTGATACACTATCTGATTAGCTTTTCATCCAGATATTCCTCATCATATTCTCCTAGGCTCTAGGCTCAGACAAATGCTTCCAATGCAGCACTGGACTTTGGTGACTCCTTGTTTGGACTATATATATTCAACCAATCTCTAATTAATAATTTTATCCTCTCATTAAACACCTTATAAATACCTGTTTTGTAACATGAATGAATCTTCTTAATCACCACCATGAGAAGATCATTGTCAGTGTAGCATTTCAGGAGAAAGTAAAGTGCATTATTAACATTGCTGAGAGATTAACCGAGAGATATGGCTGAGAACATGGTGATGGTGAGTAGTAGTGATGAAAATCACAATCAAGTGGCCATCGACTTGTGCTCGGCGTCGCCGGTTGACCGGAGCCTCTCCGCCGCCGCCGGCGGCAGCACCACCCCGAGATCACCGGGCTTCTCCATGGTGGTGGTGCCGGTCGAGTCGCCGGAGAAGACGACTGGCAAACCTCAGACTGACGATCATGATCAGCAGCAAGGGCGTGCCAAAGAGGTGCCACTTGTCAAGAAGGTATTAAGAAAATGTACTCTACTAAGTGTTCGATGCTAACTCCGTCCCGTAATAATTGTATTTTTAGGATTTAAGTGTATTCCAAAATAGTTGTCACAATAGAGTATTAATTGTCTCATCAATCAATTCTCATTCAAATTTTTTTCTATTCTACCCTTAACCACTCTTACCTATATTTCATTTAATGAGTGGCATCGTAATCTTTTTTTAAAACCTTAATATATGATAGTAACCTAAAATTACAATTATTTTAGTATGGAGGTAGTATTTATTTTTTTCTTTGAGAAACACAGTACAAACGTAAACACTCACAACGTGCGTAAATGCACGCATGCACGCCGTATCCCTATTAGCACCTTTTCGGAAATTTCGGTCTCCTGATGGGAACTAAAAACACAATTTTTTTAATTAAGAAAAAATATTCATATGTTTTTACCGGAAAATATACTTTTGAGTCCAAAAATATTAATATGTGGCCAAAATCAGTTCAATTGAACCTTTTCCGTCCAAAATTCCGAGTTTTGTTTCCATTGTTGCCTGGAGATATATATATTTTTAGTGGAGTGCCGGAAATATTTTGGATTTCCCACATAGAGCCCTCACTACATGGGTCCAATAGGTTGTTAAAAATTCCTAATTTGTTCGAATTCGGTAAACATAATTGTTCAAATTCAGCCAAAACATGCTCAAGTTCAAAAACTGCAGCAAAACATCATTCAAAATTTCCGAAATTTACCAAAATTTCATCTTTTTTTTTCTTGCAATAGGCTGCGGCGGAGTTCATCGGCACGTTCATCCTGGTCTTCACGGTGCTGTCCACCGTCGTGATGGACGCGCGGCACGGCGGCGCCGAGACCCTCGTCGGCGTGGCGGCGTCGGCGGGGCTGGCCGTCGTCGCCGTCGTCCTCTCCGTGGTGCACATCTCGGGCTCCCACCTCAACCCGGCGGTGAGCCTCGCCATGGCCGCGCTCGGCCACCTCCCGCCGGCCCACCTCCTCCCCTACGCGGCGGTGCAGACGGCGGCCTCCCTCGCCGCCGCGTTCCTCGCCAAGGGCGTGTACCGGCCGGCGCGGCCGGCCGTCATGGCGACCGTGCCGGCCGCCGGCGTCGGCGCCGGCGAGGCGTTCGTCGTCGAGGTGGCGCTCACCTTCGTGCTCGTGTTCGTCATCACCGCCGTCGCCACTGACCCGAGCTCGGCAAGTGCTCAATCTTTAATATTTTTCATCTTTTACCGTGCAATTGAAGAGAATTTTGGTCGGATAATTTCAAATTTGGAGATATTTGGAATTTACTCTATTTGAGTAAATTGCGCTTTGCACCAGGTAAAGTGCATCTAGTTTCACTGTATGAAACAAATCGAAATTTTATCAAATTTTATAAAATATGGATGAAACTGTATGAAACGCGGTCTAAATTAAAAAAAATCACAAGTTTCTCTCATGGTTTATAAGATTTTTCAATAGTTATATGACACAATCTTGTGCAAAATGGAAATTATTTTGATATACTTGGTGCAAAGTGAAAATCTATATTACTAAAGCTAAACGGGTGATTGAATCGTACTCACATTGGGAGGGAGAACCGGAGATGTTCTAGAGAATACGGGAAAAAAAAAACTTCAGGTGGGCACACACCTAGCCCTGACACCCCATTCGCGTGCGCCTGTCCATGGCATCGCTAACCACAAGCGGGTCCAGCTGAAGCCCAGGAGCCCCGATAGCCACCTGGGCCTTTTGACCATAGCTAGGTTTGCTAGCAACCTAGCTTACGCACACGCATGCATATATGCAATATATGAGAAAGAAATAATGAACTGAAAAACAGAAATCTTAAGTGGGAGTTAAAAAATTAGCACACGCCCCAGTTAACACCCTTCCAAATTTTGTGCTTTACAAGGAATGTCTTTTATTCCCTTTGAGAGCAATATTTGACATCTCCTATTCTAATAGAGAACTGCTACATATACCATGAAACCTCTTACGATCAACGTATGATGCATGTGGCAAATGTGGGGCCCAGCATGTTTCCATAGCCCAATCATACGCATGCAAGACATGATCGTAAAAAAATCGTACCTATTCTATCGTATGCATAGCAATTTCCATTCTAATATTATTGTCATCCATTCATTATTGTTTTCTCCGTATTTAAATATATGACATTGCTAAGATATGGGCATAATATTAAACAATCCGGCACTAAAGAAAAACTATAAATACTTTATTCTTAAATATTCTATATGCGACCACACATAAAAGACTATTAAGTACTTCTTCCGTTTCACGATGTAAGTCATTACATTGTGAAACGGAGGGAGTAGTATATACAGGCTATAAAATAGAAAGCGTGTCAGGCACGCTAACTTTCTAGTATATATTAAACCTGGTGCAAAATGAAACAAGAATACATTCTACCCGGTGTAAAGTGGAATTTACTCAATTTTGTTTGAATTTGTGCAGAGCAAGGAGCTGGTGGCCATTGCGATTGCTGCAGCGATCATGATGAACGCTCTCGTCGGAGGGTACGTACGTGAGAATGACAAATTAATCATAATTTTAAGCTCATTACATTTGCTTTATTTGGATCAAGAAGAAATGCTAATAATATTTGGGAATTATTCAGGCCGTCGACGGGGCCGTCGATGAACCCGGCGAGGACGATCGGGGCGGCGGTGGCGACGGGCGAGTACAGGCAAATGTGGATCTACCTCGTCGCGCCGCCGCTCGGCGCCATCGCCGGAGCAGCCACTTACACTCTCATCAAGCCCTAATCTCATCTTAATTTCTTCTCATTTCTTCTTGTAGATGGTGGTGAATGTGTTCTTGTGTAGTATTAATATTAAATTAGTTGTATTTTTTCGATTGATTCTAGTATTATGAATGGTTGGATTCTTACATTTCAGCATAACATTGATGAGCTAGTTAGTGGTGATATGATAATTACATGCATAACCAATCTCATAATGCATGCATTTATAATCTTGTGGTTGTTATTTCTGGAGATTGGGAACTACCAGATGGTGATTTGTCAGTGTGAGAGACAGACAAACTGATCTTTCAAAACCAGGAAACAAAACATTATCGCAACATGAGAACATGAGAGTGTTAATAACAACACTTTGAATCGCATAGATTCAGTGAGTTGCAGTTGTACGTTTAAAAGAAGCAGAAGGATAGATGTATTAAACACATCAAGTTGCTAGTTGATGGACAACGCAAATATTTCCTTAAAAAATAGAGTAAATTTCACAAAACTACATGTTTTATAGTCCAAATTATAGAAAACTATATACATATTGACACGTGGCACTCAAGTACATATATTTTGGTAGTGTAGTTTCACAAAACCACACTATCAATGAACAGATTCACATGTAAGATGACATAGTTGTTTCACTTAGGATGAGGACGTGGCATCCTATTAATTTCGTGCGATGGCTGGTAATAGGATGCCACGTTCTTGTCCTAAGTGGAACACCCACGTCATATCACGGCTGAATCCATTAATTGATAGTGTGGTTTTGTGAAACTATACTACCAAAATATACGTACTTAAGCGCCAAGTGTCAAAGTGTGTGTGGTTTTCTACAATTTGGACCACAAAACATATAGTTTTGTGAAATTTACTCTAAAAAAATGAATGTACAAATATCAGACCAACCCAAAATTAAAATTACATTGGTGGCATCTGCACTACAGCATTTCCTAACATGCCACTTGGTCATGAATAAAAAGAATTTGATGTATTTACATTTGGCTGAAATTCATCGATCGGTAAGTTCCAAGAACCATGGAACTCCTGCTGCAAAAGTACTCCCTCCGTCCCAGAATATAAGAAGTTTTAGGGTTGGGTATGATTATTAAGAAAGTAGGCTTCTTATAGGGTTGGATACGATTATTAAGAAAGTAAGTAGAAATGAGTGGTAGAGGGTTATGATTGGATGAGTAGTGGAGGTAGGTGTAAAAAGTGAATGATGGAGGATGGTGATGGATGGTGATTGATTAGAAAGAGAATGTTGATGGACAATTTGTTATATTTTGGGACAAATCCTGAGGGCTAAAAGTTATTATATTTTGAGACAGAGGGAGTACATCGTTTCGGTTAGTCACAAGTATATATATATACAGACATATATGTACCTAGAAGAAATAAATTTAGTAATTTGCATGAATCTCTCCATAATTTTTGTTCTACGTGTTTGTAACTAAAGTTTATTCCAACATATGCCCCAGTGCCAGCAATTGATTTGATGGCAACCCTGTTGCTCTCGCTTGGCTCCATTGTCGGCACACCAACTGCTGCAACACTACCATTGCTTTCCTTCTCTTCCCTACTCATCTCAAAGGCCATGAGCAATGTCTGAATTTCCGAACTTGGATCAGTGGTGTGGTTGATGTTTGGATGAACAGCACGGTGCAGTGAACTGTACTATATACTGTTATATGACACTGTTGATTTTCGCACAAACGTTTGACCCATTCGTATTATTAAAAAATTTAGTACAAATATGTTAAAGTATAAGTTAGGATTATACTCTATTTAATGATAAAATAAGTCACTACAAAATAAATTATATTTATATAATTTTATTAATAAGACCAATGATTAAACGTTATGTAAAAAGTTAACGGCATCATACATTTTAAAATGCACGGAGTATATTTGTGCCTTGACTTCCGCGCACTAAGAGCGAGCCGTGTGTGGCATGCATGGTGCTAACTGTTAATAGTTGATACCATCAAAGATCAGAATTTGCAGCGGCAGGCAGACACCGGCTCCGGATCATCGTCTGTCTGCAATTCTGCATCCATGGTTTTTGGAAAGGCAGGATTTGGCAAGGTCAACGCATGCATCCTCTTGGCCTTGAGTTCTTGCATAGAAGCTTCAAGCTGCTGCTGGAAAATTATCCCTCTAACAGCAAGGTTTAACTAATAATTATGGTTGTATCAACTCTCTAATCCAGCTTTGGTTTGCAGGGATTGATCAATTAATATAACAAGATCAAAAGAGAAAAATTAACACGTTTTTTCTGCTAAACCAACAGGTCAAACAATCTCATCTACAGCTAACTGCAGAATATTAATTCAAACGTTAATCAATTAATTCTGTCTTAACCAGAGATCAATTCAGAGCTGACGACAACACACAAGAAGAAATACTATAATTATTTGACAGATATACTACAACAACTGGTGCTTCTCATTTGGTGCTCGAATACTCGAGAAGAGGGTAAGTTGACATTTTAATTTGAACAATTAATTAATTAATTAATTATATACTTAACTAATCACATTGCTCTTCTTCCCCGCGGCATCCCAATTCCATTTCCGCTTTTCCGAAATCCATGGATAGATTGATTCAGCAGGTGCTTCGGCGGCCACAGCCTCCGCCGCTGCAAAATTTTCAGAGTTCATTGGTTTCAAAGATTCAAATCTTTTTTTTGCGCATGCGTAAACCGAGCTGAATTTCAGAGGCCTATATATACAGCATCCCTCATGCAGCATGCCATGCTCATCTCATCCAAGATTCAGACAAAAACATTCCTTTGTCTACAACAAGATCAAGAAACCCAAAAGCTAAGCATTAGCTCATCCATCTTAATCCATCAGAGTTGATTAGCTAGTAGTTGAGAGTTGATTAGTAGCTTGCCTTTGAACATGGAAGGGGGCAAGATGAGCAGCATGGGCATGGATGCTGCTTCAGCTTCTGTTACTGTCCCTCCCATGCAGATGCAGGCAGGTGATCAGAGCAACAGGATCGCCATCATCATCTCTCCAAGAGCCGGGAGCTCCAAGATCCTGCCATTCGAGCTTGTCAATGGTGCCGCCAATGCCGGCTCGCAACGGCACGCTGATCCAGCAGAATCCACTCCTGAAGCTCATCATCATCTATGGCATCCAGTAGACCTCCCAAAGATAAAACCACCAGTTCCTCTTGTCAAGAAGGTACTGAAACTTTGACAGAAAACATTTCTTCAGTTCAGAGTATTTATGTTCTTCAGATGAAGAAGCTCTGAATTTGTGACAATATTGTTGCTTCAACTTTCAGGTGGGTGCAGAGTTCTTTGGCACATTCACACTGATCTTCACAGTGCTGTCCACCATCATCATGGATGAACAACACAAAGGTGTAGAGTCCCTCCTCGGCATCGCGACATCGGCAGGATTAGCAGTGACAGTACTGGTTCTGTCACTCATCCACATTTCAGGCTGCCACCTGAACCCGGCTGTCAGCATTGCCATGACTGTCTTTGGTCATCTTCCTCCTGCTCATCTTCTTCCTTACATTGCTGCACAAATCCTCGGCTCGATCACCGCATCGTTCGCCGTCAAAGGGATGTATCATCCGGTGAACCCCGGGATTGTGACGGTGCCAAAGGTTGGGACAGTGGAAGCATTCTTCCTGGAGTTTGTTACAACGTTTGTCCTACTGTTCATCATCACTGCTCTTGCCACTGACCCCAATGCAGTAAGTAAATTTCCTAGCTACTTTTATCACATTTTATTCCTTTTTCTTGTATCTCTTTGTCTGAATTTATGTTGTGCTCGTGTGCTGATGATGTTCAAATAATGTTTGTTCAGGTTAAAGAGCTGATAGCAGTGGCAGTCGGAGCAACAATCATGATGAACGCTCTTGTCGCAGGGTATGTACACATAGATCGATTATTATTCAGAAATGATCCGCATACTAAACATGCAGTTGTTTTCTAAAAAAATATTAAACATGCAGTTGAACACTTGTTAAACTTTTTTTTTAAAATTAATAAAAACACTTGTTAAAGTAGCCGTGCTAATTAATTAGGTTGGCTCATTTTTCTCTTTTTGTATAGTTAATTCCTAAGCTTAATTGTTTCTGTTTTGAATATTTTTGGAACAGGCCATCGACAGGAGCATCAATGAATCCAGCAAGAACACTTGGCCCGGCCATTGCAACAGGGAGATACACACAGATTTGGGTTTATTTGGTTGCTACCCCACTTGGTGCTGTAGCTGGAGAAGGGTTTTATTTTGCAATCAAGCTGTAGTTACCTTCAGGCAAGAACAATATTCAATCGTAGAACTAGTGTAAAATCGGTGTGTGTGTATTTGTATGTGCAGTTATAACATAAAAAAATGTTTTCCTTTTTGCAGGGAAAAAAAAGTGATCATTGGAGCATGTTAAACTACCTGAACTTAAATACAGCACATTCTTTACAAATTCATGATATTGATCAAGCAGCATGTTAGGACTGCCTAAGATGTAGATGTATACACAAAGTAGTAGTGATGATGAATTGGTGGTCTCTCTTGTACTGAAATTGTACAGTTCATTTTTTTTCATTTTAATGTATAAATAATAAAATATATACAGTTCAATTTGAATTGCTAGTATTCATATTCCTCCAGTGGTGGGCAGTTTATGTTTTGAAATGTACTCCCTTTCTCTAAAAATATAATGTGTGTATGCTTTTATTAAAAATCAGCATCTGCAACTTTTGATTAGTGATCGAACTAACAAAATGTTTGGTGCCGCGCATACTATTGGATTTTTGTACGACATTAATTCCGCAATTGTCAATGATCCAAGAATTACAATGTTACAGGCCCTACTAAAAGCTAATACGTCTTATATTTGGAGAAGGAGGAAGCATCGAATGGGGTGGGCCCACTTCAATTCATGGGTATTCAAATGAATACCCAAGATTTTTGCACAAAAAATACATATATGAAGTATATATTCCATATGCATATATGAAAAAAAGGGAAAAAGGCCTACCTATTCAAAAGAAGCCCAACTAAAAACGATTTCTATCCCTCCCACCATCTTTCTCCCCACTATTTCAGGCCCATTGGCCAAATAAAGAAAAGCCCAAACATCTAACCCTATCTCTCCACCTCACCACCATCCAACTCTCCCCTCCCCCGTGACAGCCGCCAGGCTGAGGCGTCAGCCGCCCGACTGCCCGGAGGAGACGACGCGCCGGCGCGCCGCCACTCGCTGGTCCGCGCTCCGCCGCCGGCCCGCCCGAGGAGACGACGTGCCGGCTGCCTCTGCCCTCCAGCCTCCAGCAGTCCAGCCGTCGGCCGCCGCGTAGGCGCGCACGGCGCCGTCGGCGCCTTGGCGGCTCGGGCGCTCGGCGCATCCGGCATCCCCCTGCGGCGCCCGTCTCCATGCTCCAGCCGCCGCCGCCCGCCGGTGCGGCGCCGCGGCGACGAGTTGCCGCCTGGCGCCTGCCTGCCTGCCTACGCTCCACCGAGGCACCGACCACGGCAGCCTGCCAGCCCGCAATCGCAGGGGCGCAGGGCGCCGCGCCGCGTCGCCGCCACCGGCCACCGACCTGCCGTTGCCGTCGACGACGAGGTGACGAAGTCGGTACCTCACTGAGACAATGACTCACTAACTCTTCCCTAGTTGGCTAAGTAGGAACTTTGGATTAGAAATTTATGATTTAATTCATACTTGAATGACTGAATGTCTGAATCTAGCATGGATATTGTTCATACATTTTTGATTTAAAATTTGAATCTAGGAATGATTTATGGTTATCAACTGAACCGCTATATTAGTGATGTGAGTAAGGATGAGAATTTCACAAATTTGATATGTTTTGTCAATTAATAGTTTAGTATTATACTCTAATATGCTTAACACATTCAATTTATGATCAATTATATCCATGCATCTATGACTTTATGAAATCATGTTCATACCGTTATATATTATACAACTATTAGACTTTGGGTTGAAAATTTTTTTCTTCCTCTTCTAATTTCGAATACCCAAGTTGAAAATCCTGGGCCCGCCCCTGGCATCGATGAGCTAGGCCTGAACTTACTTGCATGACCTACATGGAATTTATATTTACCATTGGGAGATTTATGGCACGGGCTATGTTCAGCTGTTGAGGTTGGGAGCTAATCCCTCGCACACGAAAAATAAACGACTCACTCATTAGTGTACGATTAATTAAATATTAACTATTTTTAAAAAAGATTAATGTGTTTTTTAAACCAACTTTTATGTAGAAAATTTTTATAAAAATCACATCGTTTAGCAGTTTGGAATGAGCTAGAGGTGGATTCGGAACTATGGCAGTCGAACACAGCCTGCATTCTTCGTCGTATTCTATAGATGGGCCAGCGGAACTCAAGGCCAGCATAACTTGGTCTGAAATTCTGAATTGTTGGGCTCATGGGTAAATAAGTCTATTTTTATAGGATATGTTACGTTGATAGTTGGTCCAAATCCCCTTAGAGCTACAGTCAGTTACTAGCTACAAATCTTCTATAATCAATTTAATAGTCTATTCATATAATAGTTACCTATAAATTTATACTACGCCATAAATATCTGGTCCTATCTCTTATACACACATAACATCTTGGAGTCTGTGTTGCAGCTGGCTACAAATTTATACTCCCTCCGTCCTAAAAAAAACTCAACTTCTAGAGTTTGAATTTTGTTCCATTAAAAATCAACTTCTATCATCCTACCTATCCTTAGCATATAAAACGAGAAGTTTTATACCTTCAATACCCTTTACCTACTCTTACTATTTTTTTTAATGATTAAGGGCAGTTTAGTCATTCTCCATCTCCACTAATTCTACCTCAGGACGCTAGGAATGCATTTTTTGTGGGACGGAGAGAGTAGCTCACTTTCCTTCTCTCCTCTCTTATCTTCTCCATATGTGTTTGTAGCTGGCTTATAGCATGCTATTCTACTTGCTCGTGATGATTCCATCTGTGTGTTTGTCATAAGTGTTGAAATGGTCCTATTGTTTATAGTTGGAAGGGTGTGGTCCACATTTAATGAGAGAGAGGAGGTGGGTTGGATTGCTTCGCTATTTTCAGAACGAAGCTAACCCAGATTCAGAGAGAATATTCATTTTCAAAAATCATCCCATGTCACATGTCCCTTAAACCAAACACCCTGAAAAGGGATTCACTTTAATCCGACTCATCCCGTTGCTCCAACCAGACACATGCTTAGTTGTGTGAACAATAACTTTTGATCTTGTAGATGTGTCAAATTAATGGCAAAACCAACTGGTAACGTCCTATTCTATTAGCTAGTTCCATTTTATGAGAAATGGGCAACTTAGATCCTTCTTGTTTTCCTCTACGACAAGAGAGGAAATTCAAAGGATTTCAATCCTTGCGAAATATTTTCAATGAGGTCCTTGCAATAAAGGAATAAAATCATATGGATTGGTTTTCTAGGCCTTCATTCCATAGGAAACAAATATGAGATTCGTGCTCATGTTTTCATTCCCTTATATAGAAACGCAATGCACTTTCTCTCTCTCTCTCTCTATGCTCAGTGTAAATCCTCTAAGATTCTTTGTGTTCTATTTTAGTACGAACTATTCAAATTAAGACATTGCTTACAAAAATTCATGTGTTTTAGAATCCGGTAGGACTCTACTGTGTATGACATCTTATCTCTACGGTTTTTTTCATGTGTTCCAAAGGAGCAGCATTTATCTAAAGCTAGCTTGCAGGTACTTCCTCTATCCACATTAGTTTTCCATATGATTCCAGGTACACGTGCGTAATTGAAGGTGTGTTCAAGTTAAAATATTTGAGTTCAATTGTGAGTTTTGAGGTTATTTTTGTCTAGATTAACCCCACGGCAACAAAAGTCGACAACTGTGGTATTTTGTCAAAGAAATGAACACACATCTTAATCTTGTGATATACTCCAGTTCCAGCTAAACCAATGGTTTTTTCCTTCAAACTTAGCCGGAGAGAGAGAGAGAGAGAGAATATTTGTAATATTTCTTCAAACTTATGCAGAATTTCAGCGGCTGCCGGAGCTAAACCATGGCTTTTTTCTGCGAATTGATGAAAAATTGCGACCAATTCACGCGATGACATAAAGGGGAGGAAAAGATTAGCGCTGACCACTGAGCTATTAATGCATGCCTTGCAAAGACGAGTAATTAATTAACACGGCTAAATTATTTATTACCGCGCGTTGTAAATCAATTAATATATATACTTGCTTCTCGTACACATCTAGTAGTACCAAGCCACAGAATTCGATTGGTTTAACTAAATTAATTAATAGTAGAAATTGAATTGTATGTGTCATACATTTACTATCAAGTAACTACTCCCTCCATACTCGTAAAAGAAGTTGTTTAGGACAATATTTAAGTCAAACCTTAGAAATATAAATCATAAATAACTCTAAGTTGTTGAGTTTGAAAATATAAAAATCATATGAATAGATTTGTCTTGAAAAATACTTTCACAAGAAGTATACATATATCACTTTTCAATAAATATTTTTATAGAAACAAAAAGTCAAAGTTATATTTTGGAGACTGTGTCGCTGTCCAAAACGACTTCCTTTACCAGTACGAAGGGTGTACTACAAATTAAGTAAAAGAGCTTATTTTCATATATCTGCTGAGAACATCAGCTAATCCACTCATTAATTCTGATCGTACAGTTTTGAGAGACATGCATTGCATGTAATCAAGCATGCATTAAGTCAAATGCCCGTGCGCTACAGTAGATTCAGAAGAAATATATATCATTGGTTTTAAACTTAAAAGGGCAGGAAAGTCGCACATAGTATAAAATAAAATACTAGCTCCATCTATTTTATATTATAAGTCGTTTTGATTTTTTTCTAATTAATTTTTTAAGTGATCAAATAAATAAAAATATATAGCAATATATTTGACACAAAACAAACATATTATCAAAATATGAACAGAGGAAGTAATATATTGATAGGCAAGCTCCTTGTTGTAACCAAGGTTAGGGGATGGTCACTACATAGTACAAAATAGATTTTCGTGGACACTTCGCTCTGAACTACACCGGCGGCCTAAAAGCACAATAGCATGTATAATACACGGGGGATGTGCACGGTTAAAAGAAGATCTATTACAGGCAGTTACATATAAAAATAAACATATTTACACATACGGCTATCATAGTGCGCCCGTGTATATAGTGTAAGTAAAATCTTGGCATTAATTTCAATTGGCATTTTAGACTTTCTATAGCATTTGAAAAACCCTTGGAGCGATCAGGATCGGACAATGTGAGTATGACACCCCCACTTCATACTACTTGTGTTAGGTACGTTCATGGTTGATTGCTGATCTCTCAAGTGGCATGTATATGTCATCTGCATTTGACATGCCGCAGCTCAGATCAAACTTAAAAACAGCTATTGTACCCATTGTATACATGACTGGAGTAGCTGTTGCTTTGACAGAAGAGAGGTACATGGTTGACATGGCTGCTAGCAATATACATTGCTCTTCTTCCCCTGCCACATCATCCGGTTTCCGCTTTTCAAAAATCCGTGAAAATATACATGTATTATCTAAAAAATAGATAAAATGATTACATTTAATTCGATCGGCAGCAGCAGCTTCGGTGGCTATCACCTCCGTCGCTGCAAATTAGTCCACTGGTTTTAAATCAAATATATACAATTTAACGCACATGTGAAAACCGGGCCGCATTGGAGATGCATGCCTATACGCCTTTTTTAATAATAATAATAATAATAATAATAATAGAAATAGGTTATATCTTCGGTCTTGCCATTATAGAGGTACATGGTTGACATGGCTGCTAGTAAAAATATACATTGGTCTTCTTCCCCAGCGGCATCATCCCGTTTCCGCTTTTCAAAAATCCATAAAAATATACATATATTATCTAAAAATTAGATAAAATAATTATGTTTAATTCGATAGGTGGTAGCAGCTTCAGCGCCATCACCTTCGCTGCTGCAAATTAGTCCACTGGTTTCAAATCAAATATATACAATTTAACACGCATGTGAAAATCAGGCTGTATTGGAGATGCCTGTACGCCTTTTTTAATAATAATAAAATGAGTTATATCTTCGGTCTTTACCCGTTAGACACACTGTCATCCAGAGGCCTATATATACAGAGCACCTATCACACTGCATGCCATGCTCCTCATCCAAAGTTCAGACAACCAGAAAATTAACCAAGAATTGCTCTGCCTATAGCAAGATCTAGTAGCAAAGCTTGACTCTGAGCTCAGGAGGAAGAAGATGGAAGGGCACAAGAGTGGCATGGAAGCTGTAGCAGTTGCCATCCCTCCCTTGCACACTGGTGAGAGCAACCACAGGATTGACAGCAATGTCAGCTCGCAATGCCATGCTGATCCTGCAGAGCTCTCTGATGAAACTCAGCAGCAATCTCTGTGGCATCTAGGCCTAAGAAAGATAATACCATCATCTGTTCCTCTCCTCAAGAAGGTACACACTTTTTTTACCCCATATTTTCACCTCTCATCGTCTGTTTTTTGTCTTATCAGTTGTGACCAAAATTTGAATTTTAAAATATAATTTTAGAGTAAATTTTGAGGTTTATTTTTCAGTACTGACTTTTAAACTGCTAAAAACATAGGTATTATAAAAGTTTTGCCCATAAATAATGTTTGGTTAAACGTTGTTATAAAAGTTTATTTTTCCACACTTTATTGGCCATAGATTAAACAATAAGAGCAAAATTCTTGAACTTCCTCATCCTCTTTCTCTTCTTCTTCAGAAAATGTACAGATATCTGACAGACAACAACCTTTTTCCCCCGTAATCTTTTTCTTCAGATGAATCTCTGAAATGTTTCAGGTCAGTGCTGAGTTCTTTGGCACATTCATACTGATCTTCACCGTGCTATCAACCATCATCATGGATGAACAACACAAAAGTATCGAGACGCTCCTCGGAATCGCAACATCTGCAGGCTTAGCAGTCACTGTTCTAGTTCTGTCCCTCATCCACATATCAGGATGCCATCTGAACCCTGCAATCAGCATCGCCATGGCCGTCTTTGGTCACCTCCCTTCTGCTCATCTTCTACCTTACATTTCTTCACAAATTCTCGGGGCCGTCGCCGCCTCCTTCGCCGTCAAAGGTCTGTATCATCCGGTGAACCCCGGGATTGTCACCGTGCCAAATGTCGGCACGGTTGAGGCGTTTTTCGTCGAGTTCATAATAACATTTTTTCTACTGTTCATCATCACTGCTCTTGCCACTGATCCTAATGCAGTAAGTGTGGTTTTCTGATGTATTTTGATCAGTTTGGTTTTCTTTTCTTTGAAATGTTTGATTCAAATTTTGTCCTTTTGATCAAAATCTTCATCAGGTGAAAGAACTGATAGCAGTGGCAGTTGGGGCAACAGTCATGATGAACATTCTTGTGGCAGGGTATGTGCGTATGGATTGATTAGGAACAATACATAGCTTTCCTGGGTATTTTAAACTGTCATGTAATACTATTTGTGTTGTATTTTACAAAATATAATTTAGATTTGAATAATTTGAACAGGCCATCAACAGGAGCATCGATGAATCCGGCGCGTACAATTGGCGCGGCTATTGCCACAGGGAGATATACTCAGATTTGGGTTTACTTGGTGGCAACTCCACTGGGTGCTATAGCTGGAACTGGGGCTTATGTTGCAATTAAGCTGTAGTTTACACCAGGTAAAGTAAAACAATATTGTAAAGGAAATCAAAACATTTATCATATTGTGATATATGACCATTACATTTTAAATAAGTAATAACTCTGTCTTTTTACAGGTAACTTGTGACTCTTTGAGCATGCTGATATAACCATTTCGCCAGAATGTAAATAAACAAAATTCTACTAGCTCCATGATCAAGTATAGACACTGTAATTACTTCTAATAGCTGTTTTTTTACTATCTCCGTGACCAAAATGTCAATAATTACTTGTAATAGCTGTTTTTACTAGCTCCAAGACCAAAATGTCAATAATTACTTGTAATAGCTGTTTTTAGCTATGGTAAGAAGAACACTTCAGTGTAGATACCCAATAAAGTGTGATTTCTCCAAGTCCATCAATTCTACAAACTAAATCACTTCTATGAAAAGAACAATTGAATCACTCCGAGGTCTCTGAGCAAAACAACCCTCATTAAGATATACATTTTTTTCCTGACAGCATCAAGTTACAGCGGCAAATTGGATCTCACAACTACTTTTCTATATGAACAATTATGAAATTAAGCAGAACAAGGTACAAGATTACTTTTATTAATAAAGACAGAGTTCAAGGGGAATGAATCCCAGTACATCGCCGAACAGATGTTATGTGGCACTAAACCATCCTTAGATAGGAAACTGAGGATAGGAACCAGACTTCCTAAGGAAACCAAGCAGCAAGGGAGAAGCAGATCCACAGGGAGCCCGCGACGACTACATCCTTGAGCCTCTTTTAACGTGCACACCGCTTGACAAACCGGTAATACCCTTCGGCTGCCTCTACGGGAACGGAATTGCTAATTAGTAGCATGATCAGCAAGAGAAGCCAATGACCGTTCGGGTGCCATCGCCATCGTTGAGGTCCTAGCTCGTTCAAGCTGAACCCGTGACGGCGGCGGCGGCTGATCGCAGCGATCGCCTTGGACGGCCGCTTCATGGCAACGGTGAGACGGCCGTCTCGCAGAAGGAGCGCAACCTTGTCTCGCTCTCCTTGGTTTGCTCGGTGGGAGACGGGAACTCGGTGTTGTTCTGGGAAGATTGTTGGCTGCAGGGCGCTTCAATTCGGTCGCTGGCACTGGCTGTTTGGGCGGCTGTCCCAGGGCGGTTGCGGGGCAAACGCACGGTGTCTGAGGCGCTACACGACAGGAGATAGATTCGTGATATCTCCTCGGCGTTAGGGATGCAAGCGATCCTTGAATACTTCAAGCTCTGGGAGCTCCTCCGATCGGTGCAGCTGTCTAACGAGCCGGACAAGCTTTCTTGGTGTTGGGAGAACTCGGGGTAGTACTCCTCCCGCTCGGCTTATCGGGTTCTCTTCTTGGGGAGAACTCAATTCCAACACAAGCCAATCTGGAAGTCTTTCGCCCCTCCTCGATGCCGTTACTTCCTCTGGCTGGTCGCTCTCAACCGATGCTGGACGGCGGACCGCCTTCGAAGCCGAGGTCTGTCGCACCCGGATCGTTGCCCCCACTGCGATCAATGCGACGAAACGATTGATCATCTCCTGGTCGCATGCCCGGACTCTCGGCAGCTTTGGTGGATTGCTCTTACTGCTATCGGTCATTCTGAATGTCTACCTCTCAATGAGCAGTTCTTTCATGCCTGTTGTGTGACAGTCGCAAAAGGATGATTAAAGACCATCGCCGAGGGTTCGACACAATTGCGGCACTGGTAGCATGGACAATCTGGAAGGAAAGGAACAACCGGGTCTTCAACCAGAAGATCAGACCTTGGATGGAGATAGCTAGGGCTATGAGGGGGAAGCGGACCTCTGGCGGATGGCTAGATCAGCCATACCGACCATGACAGTCCCTTCGCTTGTTCTTTGGTCGCCAAATCATTCGAGAGATTAGGCTTCTACTTTTCTCTTCCCCTCTCCTGTACCCTGTCCCTTTCTTTTTATTTTTCAGTCCCGTTCTGTAAATACATTTATTCCTCTTAATACAAAAATACGCGTCTCGCGACGGTGAACTCGAGCATCTTCTCGGTGAGGTCGACCTCGTCGCCGGCGACCTCGCGCCAGTCGAACTCCCAGACGAGGTTGGCGACGAAGTACTCGAGGTGGAGCAGCGCCAGCGCCATGCCGGGGCACACCCTCCGCCCGGCGCCGAACGGCATCATCTTTATCTCCTTGCTGCCGGTGAGGTCCACGTCCTCGCCCTCGCCGCCGGCGAGGAACCGCTCCGGCCGGAACACCTCCGGCGAGGTCCACACCTCGCTGTCGAGCCCGATCTCCCTCACCGCGAAGTTCACCGGCGTGTTCGCCGGCACGCGGTACCCGTCCAGCGTCGTCTCGTCTTCCACGGCGCGCGGGAGCGCGTAGAGGCCGGGCGAATGTCGCCGGAGACCTTCCAGCACCACCGCCTTGAGGTACGGCATCGCCTGGAGATCCTCCTCTCGCACCTCGCCGTCGCCGGCCACGGCGGCGGCGATCTCTTCCATGAGCCTGTCCTGCATCGCCGGGTTCTTGACGAGGTTGGCTAGTATCCACTGCAGCACGGTGGCCGTGGTGTCGGTGCCGGCGCTCATGAACTCGGAGCAGAGGCTGACGATCTCGCCGTCGTTGAGCCCCCGCCCGCCGTCCTCCGGGATGGTGAGCTTCACGAGGGAGTCCACATAGCAGTCGCCGCCGGCGCCGGCCTCCCTCCTGGCGCGCATGAGCGGGACGAACAGCTCCTCCTGCCGCCGCCGCAGCGACACCATCTTGTTCCACCGCTTCCGGAACACGAGCTTGGTGATCGGCGGGAGGAAGGCGAAGACCTCGAAGCCGGGGAAGTTTGCGAGAGGTCGCGCTGCATCGCCTCGATCGCCCTCACCCGCGCGTCGCCGGGGCGGTCGCCGAAGCACATGTGCAACAGGAGGCAGAGCATCGCGTACCGGAAGGGCTCCATCACGGTCACCGGAGCACCGCCCTCGCCGCGGACGTGGGAGACGAGGGCATCGAGCACACAGCGTCGCGCGCCGGAGAACGCGCGGAGGCGGGCCGGCCGGAGGGCCGTCCAGGTGGGGCCATACGGACGCCGGGCTGACGGCGCGGGGGCGCGACGCGAACGCCGCCCCGCGCTGCACCAGCGCGCGGTACGCCGCGCCACGCGCCGCCACGAAGATCGTCGGCCCCAGCGGCGCGAACGTGAACACCGGGCCGTGCTCCGCCGCGATCCGCCGCAGCGTCGGCTCGACGTCGATGTCCCTCCGCGCGAGGAACAGCAGCGGGCCCAGCACCGGCACCGTCCTCGGCCCCGGCGGCAGCGGCGCCGCCGCCGCCGAGGCGCGGGCGCGCAGCAGCAGCGAGCACGCGAGGCAGAGCAGCGAGGTGAGGGAGTAGAAGAGCCAGTCCTCCATGGCTAAACCTCTCGGATTATTTTTTTCCACTCCCGCTGCTCACAGTGGAGGGATATTTATACGGGAGGGGGAAAAAAGTTCGGCGGGAAATCTAAATCGAGAGAGCTATCTCGGTTTTGTGTTATTGCACGACGCGTCTGGTAGCCGTACGTCTTCGTGCTATCGGAGAGACAGACTTGCTTTCACTGCAATGGCAACACACCACCGACCACATATTATATTTCACTTTCATTTATATCATCATGTTCTACTCAAAATATACTATAGACGAGTCCAATATTGAATATATGCAAACACTTAAAGAGTTTACTTAATTTAAAAGTAATTTATTTAAATTGTAGAAATAATTTAGCTTTGCAATAGAAGTAACTACCTATAGCATCGGAAATAGTTATCCTAACCAATCAGTTAATAATGACTGAGATACGAACACATGGATGTTGTACTGACAAAGAAACATGGAAACGAGACCACTTGTCAGAAAAAGAGGACAACATGCTAATTGTTAGTTGTCGTGTCGATTCACGTGTATGCTACCAAGGCTAACAACACTAATATATTTTCTTTTTTTATAGAACCTTTGATGGTCTATATTTTTTTAAGACCGTATGTTATTTTTATGATCTGTTTGAACCATCATACTATACTTGAAACATGTGATAAATGAGTCCAATATTGAATATATTTAATTTTTTTTTCTTAATTCCTCTATAAGTGTAGTTACTTCTAATAATATGAAAAGTTACATCCTTATAGCAGTGTAGTTATTTCTAACGACGTGAAGAACTAATTCTCTCTAGCAGTACAGTTACTTCTAATATCTTAAAGAGTTATTTTAATTTTATTTTTTATAGTTACTTCTCTCTAGAAGTGTGTTTACTTCTAATATTATGAAGAGTTACTTCTATTACTTTAAAAGTTGCTTCCCTCTAATAGTGTAGTTAGTTTTAATATCATGAAGAGTTACCTTCTATATGACGCAAGATTTTATTTTTTAAATAATATAGTGATTAGTTTAAATAAAGAATATATATATTTACTTGAAAATATCTTCTCTACATTGTGCTTGTGGATTTACTCCACATAGTTTCTTATTTCAACTCATCATGATGTAATTACTTCTAATGCTCTAAATAGTTACTCCTATTGCATAGCTAAGTTACTTTTGCAATTTTAATGAACTACTTTTAGATCAATAAAATGTTTGAATATATTCAACATTGAACTTGTTTTATCACATATTTTAAGCAGAGTACAATGGTAAAAAAATATCTTAAATATAATATAAGGTTTAAAAGATACACTAGTGACCGATCTATATTAGTGGCAAAGAAGTATTTATACATCACATGGGATAAAGTGGTCGATGGTTTAACCAAACCAGCGACCGTGCACTGGGTAGTCGTATCTAAAAAAGTCTATTCCTTTTTTATAGGCCCAAAAGAATATATTTATCCATGCTGACATTACCACTACCAGAAATTCGGAGTGTAAAATACACCAAAATTCTACTACCTCCATGATCAAGTTTAGATACCCAATAATGTGTCAATAATTACTTTTAATGCTACCTTCCATCTCAAAATATAAGTAATTTTTAGCTATAAATTTAGACACACTTTTATTTAGATAAATAATTAAAAATTATTTTATTTTATTTGTATAGCTGTTTTTAGTTATGGTAACAAGAATTCTTCATTGTGCATACCTAATAAAGTGCATTTTCTCTTCTTTTATTGTGATACAAAGATATGTTAATGTAAATGCAATTTTTCCATGTCTCATCACATATCTATTTTCAGTAATTATATCGGTGGCATCAGCAAATGTTTAACATTAACTAGATGAATACCCCGCGGCGTTGCTGCGAAAAATTAATTTGCATAATATGTACAAATAAAAAGTAATTTGATTATTAAAACTAAAACAAATTTGAAACAATTTTGGGCCCAAAAATAATTGATATTGCATGTTTTTATGAGAGAAGAAAGAAGAGACAATTAAGACCATAGATCTATCATCTAAAGGCTAGAAATAATTGAGGTGATGTGGCTTAATGATAGAAGAGAAAAATAACATTAACTATATTTAGTGAGGATGAACTATATATACTTATATAGATACACCCATTATCTTGTACCCACGTCTGAATATGGACAGCTGTCAGGTTCAAAAAAAATTTTAGTACACGTGAATCAGAAAATACAGAAATAGAAAAAACATATAAATAGAATATTATGCATTGTTGAATCCTAAAAAAATATTAAGATGATCCAAAATACAACAAAATATAAAGTTATATGGCCGAAAGTAAAAAAAAAATAATCGATAGGTGGTCAAAGAAAAATTTTACAACAAAATATGGCCCAAAGTGTAATTCACTAAAAACAATCATACAGTATATACTTCTTCCGTTCTAAAATATAATCATCTCTAATATTCGAAATTCATCTAAGAACTTCTCTACTCATTCAACTTAGTCAATTATAATCATCTCTCAGTTGCTTCTCCAGTTAATTGCTCATCTCAGCTAATCAAAACCATTTTTGATTTAATTTCAACTATCTCCTTATTCTCTGTTTCTATGAAAAATACATATGCTTTGGGACCGATTAAAGGAGTAGTTAGCAGGTAAAACATATAAATTTCTTGCATGACTCGTGATGTTGTTTCTTGCCTTGTTAAACAGTCAAATAATAAGGGTGGTTGCCGGGCAAAAGCCCAGTCTTGGCTCTTTTGAAACCCTGACGGACGGCAGCGGCAGTTTTCCTGTCGCTTCTCTCCTTGGAGACGTTGTTTAAGCATCCCCTTGCCGAAACCTCTCGAACGATTGATGCAAGCACGCTCTAGGATAGAGTTGGGCTTTGTGTTGGTTGTAAGGGTGTTTTTTTGGCGATCTCGTCTATGTTCCTTTGTTGCCCTAGCGGTGGTAGGTCACACTTAGCGGCGGCTGGTCCGGTGCTAGCCTTCTCCCGGACCTGTGTATTGGCGCTGTTTGTGTGTGGGTGGTGGTATTTTTTTCCTTTTTCCTGGTTACGATCTTCCAGGGTTGTAATCTTGTAATTTTTTTTAGCTCTATCAATAGAACATCGTTAAAAAGAAAGTCAAATAATGGAAAACAGTAGTGCAATATCTGCAAAATATCTCTTATTGGGTCGGATTTTCCAAAGACATTGTCTATTTTTTGCGAATAAAGTCAAGTATTTCCCCAATGCATTCATGCGATAGATAGATAACTGGTCTGTGGTCACACCACTCACCACATCAAACGTGACCGTGATATACAACCGAAGTATATAAATTACGCAAAATTCTCAGGAGGGTCCAATATTTCCCAGGATAATCTCACTGTCAGAAAATCAAAACATTGGTGAATTTTATCTTAATTTTTTTTTGCGGGGAGAATTTTAGCTTAATTTTAAACAACAAATTTCAACCATTTTTTTAAAATATAAATTAATCCTTTTTTTGTCCGTTTCCACAATTTCTCGGTGGGGGCATAAAAAAAGATGGCAGATATCCTCGGAATCCTAATGACAAACATATGACATATGACATGAGAAAGGTTGTCGTAGGCTCGTCCTCCCTCCGTCGTGATTGTGAGTTTTTCAAAGTTTGACTGGCCGTTTTATTAAAAGAAAAATTGTCATTAGTATTTGTATTGTTACTAAATGATAAAACATAAATAGTACTTTAGTACTTTATATGTGACTTATTTTTAAATTGTTTCATAAACTTTTCAAATAATACGGACGATCAAACGTTAGACACGAAAACTTACTATCAAACTTAAAACGCAACGGAGGGAGTAGCTTTCTTTTCTTTCTTCTTTTTTCTTTTGACATGAATGTTCATTTGTTGTTAATTTCCCTTTCAACACTGTTGATTCCAACGTCAAATCACCATCATTTTTGGAGTCCTCTACTCTACCCGTCATCAAACATGTCACCACATTCATTAATCATAATCATCAGTACAAATGCTAATTAGCTATGCTCATTATTCATTGAGAGGTGCAGTACAGTCCATACTGACAAACGCGTTAACTACGTAAGGTTGTGGGGTAGTCAGCCTGGGTACGAAACATTACCCTTTTTATTTATTTGATATTAGATTATTCTCTAATATTTATGTTTTTTTTTCAGTCAGTCCATAACCATACCATGCAAGTGCAACAAATATTTCCCCATGTATTTTTTAATTCGTGTTTTTTTTCAGTCAGTACATAACCATTTTTTAGTCAGTCCATAACCATACTCCTTCCATCCCATTTTAAATGCAGCCATGAATTTTTTTTATCCAACGTTGATCATATGTCTTATTTGAAAACTTTTTGAAAATATTAAAAAAACATAAGTCACACAAAATATTATTTATCTTTTATCATCTAATAACAATATAAATACTAATCATAAAAAAATTTCAAATAAGACGGACGATCAAAGTTTGACATGGAAACTCATGACTGCACTTAAAATCGGACGGAGGGAGTCCCATGCAAATGCAACAATATTTTCTGCATGCATTTTTTAATGGTTTTTTACGGTGATATTTACGAAGACAACAGCTATTCCATCCTTCACGTTCTTATTATCAGCACCATGGAATTCTTTTTGGCTCATTGTTCACAAATTTTAAAACTTAATTTAGAATTGATTTAAGGTATTTTGTCGTAGTTTATTTTTCAGCATTCGTAGTTTTTAGATAGCTAAAAAATTTACCAATAACTTATTTCGTGAGTTCTATAAGCCGTTTTTATGGCCTACCAGATTTACGTGAAACGATTTAACTAAGAAGCTATGCACTCTTTCTATTTTCTTTTACATTATATCGGTTCAATTTTTAACTAACCAGCAACAGAAAAAAAAACAGAGAACCCCTCTTCTGTTTTTCTCCGGGCATACTTATGTGATGTTGCGGCATTAATCGAATTTGATTTTTCTTGTTCTATTTTAGAGCATTACTTATTATTTTTGAACAAAAATGCTCAGTACTTATTATTGTGTCATCTGATCACTTATTGCCTTTTTTTTTCTTTCACCAATCTGGTGACTTTCTTGGCAGGTGACTAATACCCAGGTAATTAAAGTTATAATAAAAGTAAATTATCCGGTTAAAAAATTAACAGCCACATAATCCAACCTTACCTACGTGTTCATGACTCCAACACTCACTACCGGCCACTAGCTACACACCAAAAAAAAAAAAATCCCCGTGAAATTATTCACCCCCAAAAATATCCCAGCCACCCACTTCCTACCAGCATCCAAACATTCTAGCCAGGAACAAAATGGATAAACAAATTATTTTCCCAATAAAAAAAGGAATAAAACTTTTTTTCCCTCCCGTATAAATATCCCTCCACTGTGAGCAGTGGGAATGGGAAAAAAATCCGAGAGGTTTAGCCATGGAGGATTGGCTCTTCTACTCCCTCACCTCGCTGCTCTGCCTCGCGTGCTCGCTGCTGCTGCGCGCCCGCGCCTCGGCGGCGAGCCCCAAGGCGGCGGCGGCGGAGGCGGCGCCGCTGCCGCCGGGGCCGAGGACGGTGCCTGTGCTGGGCCCGCTGCTGTTCCTCGCGCGGAGGGACTTCGACGTCGAGCCGACGCTGCGGCGGATCGCGGCGGAGCACGGGCCGGTGTTCACGTTCGCGCCGCTGGGGCCGTCGCGGCCGACGATCTTCGTGGCGGCGCGCGGCGCGGCGCACCGCGCGCTGGTGCAGCGCGGGGCGGCGTTCGCGTCGCGCCCCCGCGGCGGCGGCGGCCCGGCGTCCGCGCTGCTCTCCAGCGGCGGCCGGAACGTGAGCTCGGCGCCGTATGGCCCCACGTGGAGGGCCCTCCGGCGATGCATCTCCTCCGGCGTGCTCAACCCGGCCCGCCTCCGCGCGTTCTCCGACGCGCGGCGCTGGGTGCTCGACGTGCTCATCTCCCACGTCCGCGGCGAGGGCGGTGCGCCGGTGACCGTGATGGAGCCGTTCCAGTACGCGATGTTCTGCCTCCTGGTGTACATGTGCTTCGGCGACCGCCCCGGCGACGCGCGGGTGAGGGAGATCGAGGCGCTGCAGCGCGACCTCCTCGGCAACTTCCTCAGCTTCCAGGTCTTCGCCTTCCTCCCGCCGATCACCAAGCTCGTGTTCCGGGAGCGGTGGAACAAGCTGGTGTCGCTGCGGCGGCGGCAGGAGGAGCTCTTCGTCCCGCTCATACGCGCCAGGAGGGAGGCCGGCGCCGGCGGCGACTGCTACGTGGACTCCCTCGTGAACCTCACCATCCCGGAGGACGGCGGGCGGGGGCTCACCGACGGCGAGATTGTCAGCCTCTGCTCCGAGTTCATGAGCGCCGGCACCGACACCACGGCCACCGCGTTGCAGTGGATACTGGCCAACCTCGTCAAGAACCCGGCGATGCAGGACAGGCTCAGGGAGGAGATCGCCGCCGCCGTGGGCAGCGACGGCGAGGTGCGGGAGGAGGATCTCCAGGCGATGCCGTACCTCAAGGCGGTGGTGCTGGAAGGTCTCCGGCGACATCCACCCGGCCACTACGTGCTCCCGCACGCCGTGGAAGACGAGACGACGCTGGACGGGTACCGCGTGCCGGCGAACACGCCGATGAACTTCGCGGTGGGCGAGATCGGGCTCGACGGCGAGGTGTGGGCCTCGCCGGAGGTGTTCCGGCCGGAGCGGTTCCTCCCCGGCGGCGAGGGCGAGGACGTGGACCTCACCGGCAGCAAGGAGATCAAGATGATGCCGTTCGGCGCCGGGCGGAGGGTGTGCCCCGGCATGGCGCTGGCGCTGCTCCACCTCGAGTACTTCGTCGCCAACCTCGTCTGGGAGTTCGACTGGCGCGAGGTCGCCGGCGATGAGGTCGACCTCACCGAGAAGCTCGAGTTCACCGTCGTCATGAAGCGGCCGCTCAAGGCGACCGCCGTGCCGCTGCGCGGCGACCGATCGGCCGCCGTCGAGTGAACAAAGGCCTCAACGACGGCGACGGCGGCCGGCGTTTTCTCTGAATGTTGTAGCATGGCAATTAGGAAGAGAACAAGAGTAGGTCATGGCTTCTCTTTGCTAATCATGCTACTAATTACTTCCTCCGTTTTACAATGTAAGTCATTCTGGCATTTCTCATATTCATATTGATGCTAACGAATCTAGACATATATATCTATCTAGATTCATTAACATTAATATGAATATGGGAAATGTTAGAATGACTTACATTGTGAAACTGGAGGAAGTAGCAATTAAAAATGGTGATTAGATTTAAGTTCCTCTTGTTCTTTTGGGGTATTAGTAGACTGAACTAATGCTGTGCTAGTGCCTATATGTACAAATTACTATGGGGAGAACAGTTTGGTACTTCTTTCTCATAATCTTGTACTTTGTTGAGCTTAATTACTTAATTGCTAATAGCAATCTGGTTGTGTTGTTGAGCTTAGTTACTTAATTGGTAATAGCAATCTGGTTGTGAGATCCCATTCGCCACTATTAACATGATGCCGTCAAGAAAATCTAAAAGAAACATCGTGCCTTTCATAGCACAGTCTGCAAATGAGTGAATAGTGATTAGCTATTGCAGGTTTGTAATTATCAGGTAAATAAATCTGCAGGAACCTTCAGACATGCAGATTTGTTCATCTGCAGAAAGATATAACCAACCTGCAGTAGTTAATCACAAAATTGATCTGGAGGGATTGGTTGTAGACGAACACCACATCAATGTGATGTGTTCTGAAGATTGCTGCAAACAAAGGTTACTGTCCCTGAACTTGACAACTATTCATACTCAGATACTGGTACTGCAAAATTAAGGATATTCATTTGCTGATGCCACCGACATGATTACCGAAAATAGATGTGAAGAGACATGGAAAAAAAATGCATGATCAATAGTTCAGGCTATTCTACAGTACATTGATGATCTCTGTGCCTTGGCAATAAATAAATCAACGGCAAACAGAGTATGGCAATTTACAGCGTTCCCTAATAGGCAGATAAATTATGTACCTCATCATGATTACAAGCTCTGCTTCATAAACAGTTACCATCTGAAGTTCTGGAAGTGCATCAAGTAAGCATGTATAGGATACAACATGGCATGGTATGTGCTCTAGCAAATGTACTAGGTTGCACCAGCTAGAACCACCTCACTCTTTATTATCATCAGCTTCTTCAGACTGTCTAAGCCATTCTTGTAGTTTGAGTTCTTGTTCTTCCTTGAACTTGTTATAATTCTCCACCGATTTGGAGATATCAGTCGAAGAGCTCTCCTTCATAGTAGCTGTATTGTTATCTAAAAGCTGGCTTGAAACAGGAAGATCATCCTTCTCTGTATCTGAGGGTGTCGATGCACCATGTCCACCAGCTTGTGATGATTCAGGAGCTGCAGATGACTCTGACTCCTCAGTGGTGTCATCTTTTGTTCCGAAATCAGGCTGTGGCCATCTGAGAGTGGATGCCTTCTGCTTCGCAGTGTTGAACATGGAAGAGAAATAATTACGGCTGCTTCCTCCGTCGGTTGTGCCCAAATCTTCTTCCCATGTTCCTGAGCTTTTCCCTGATTGGAACCCCCAAGTGGGGTTCTGGATTAACCTGAGTGTAGTGATTTTTTCTCAGAACCAATGACGGAAGATGAACTATATGCATAGAAATTATACTTTACGGGAAGGGCCTGGGATGATCAAGCCAGAGCTGTAGAGTGGTCTGTTAGTTACTAAGTTTAGAAGCTATAAAAAAACTTGAACGTTAGTGGAAAGAACAGGCACTATCAGAGAGGCTTGAACAACTTTATCTTTATCTTACTAATTATATATAACATGTTCTGCTGTCATGCTTCATACTTCATGAAAAAAAGGAAAACCAAAAGGTCATTGTTCTATAAAGGATGGTATGAATGAAGCTATTTGGGTATAGCACTGTATTAAACAAACAAAAAAGTTAGAAAACATGTAATGCAAAGGAGGTTGTCAAGATAGGTAGAATACGAACCCCCTCTTTGGTTGGGTCTTTGACATTATCTTGAGAGATTTATTTATGTCCTTGATCATATCATCAGCAATTGGAAGTCCAAACTCTGCCATGGACCTCACTGCACAGATAGAGTCCTCTATATCTTCAGTATGCAATGTTACCTCATGAATCTTTTCTGCAACCTTTCCCTGATGAGGGAACAGGGCTCATGTTAGAATACCACAAAATCATATCGTTAGGCAGATAACTTTGATATTTCCTAATAAGTGGTGACCACTGGCAGGAACAAATGAAATTGTCAAACAGCTGAGAAATTACTAATTATTAGTAGGTATCAGCTTATTTTCAAACTTAAAACTGCTTGAAGGAATGCAATATTGTACAGGACCAGAAAAAATCTGAATGGTAAATAACGAGCATTGTCAGTTGAGAACAAAGTTTCAGCCTTTCAGGTATACCGTGTTCATCTGTTCTTCCATGTTTTTGTAAGAGCTTCCCTTTAATTGTTGTACAATGTATTGGTAAAAAACCTGTTTCACACAAATAATATGACCTGCGATCCCAACCTGACCCTTGACTGAAAACAAATAAAAATCAAATTTTAGATGCTTAACTGGTTTACACCGCATCAGCTTCTGCCAATGCTAATCAGAATATTTATTAGCTCTGGACTTGTTATCATGTTGGAAGGTGTAGGAGGTGGTCTGTCAAAATCTGAAAGAAGCCACTATAACTTGATAATACAAGATGCACGCACAGAAGTTGATAAATGAAATTCCCTGAAGTTCCCTTGGGTGATGGATTATATGGTGACATGTTCAAAAAAAAAAAATTCTGACTCTGAAGACTCAAAATTGGGTATATAACAAATCAGCTGGATCCCTTTAATAATGCAACTAACACACTGTAACAATAGTTATGCCCCCTAACCAAGTGTTTAATGTGTTGTTGCTCTACTTTTCTCTTAATCAAGCATCTCTGAATTTCATACCAATCACAATTCTGAGATAAGGCCGCGCTGATGATAGATCAGTATAACATTTCAATCCCAACGCGCAACGCAGCATGTGCAAAAGAATCAAATGCCCTATACCGGTAGAACATTAAGGACAAGGAGGAGATAGAGATAGGAAGGCCATGGACCTTGACGTCGAGGAGGAGGGGCATGGACGCCTGCGCGTGCTGCTGGACGAAGTAGAGCCCGACGGAGGGCTCGTTGGCCACGTACTTGATCATCTCGTCCACCCCGTCCTTCACTGCAAATCCCCCCAAGATAATAAACACCGGAATCAGATCGCTACGCAACTGCAGGCGAGGTGTTCGACGGAATTCCTCCAAAGAATCAGGAGCAAGAACAGCAAGAAAGAAACAAGCAGGCCGGCCCGCCCGGGATCGTTACCGCAGAGGAAGCCGTCGGCCGGTGAGAGCGGCGAAGGCGACGCGGCGGAGGAGGAGATGGAGGAGAGGTTGCGCTGCATGTCCGTGTCCGCCGCAGAGCGCGGCGGGCGACCATCACGGAATCACCCCGCCCCCCACGACACCACCAGGAGCTCGGATTCGCCGCCGCCGCCACCGCTCACCGGAGGGAGAGGAGGAGGAGGAGGAGAATTCAAGCAAGGGAATCTCTCGCAGTAGAGGGGATCGAGAGAGAGGAGGAGGAGAAATCGAGCGAGCGCGATGACGAACAAGGACGAGGCGAGAGGCGAGAGCTGGAGAAGGAAGAAGGGTGGGTGGGTTCAGAAAATTCAGATGAAGGGTGGAGATTTATTTATTTGGTAAAAGAAAATAGTAGGATTAGAGCGAGTAAAATAATATAATATATGATGTAAGCGGTTTATATATATTGCCACATCATATTTATGCTTATGTGGATAAGATAGAAGAGGAGAGAGAAAAAAGCGGACTACAAGTTCGTAGCCGGCTACAACACGAAATCCAATAACCTATGTGAGAGAAATGTGAGGAAAACATTAATGATGCAGTATGTATTTATAATTAAATATTATATTAGTAGGCTATTAAGTTAGCTAGTATACATGATGTGTTAATTTTAAGAGCTAATAATTAGCTATATTATTAAACTCGCTCTTAGGAAACAACAATGTATGGATTGGAAGTACTTCGTCGTCCATGAATACTCGTTGGTTTTGACAAATGGTGTATGAACTTTGCTCGTTCAATTTTAAACGATATTAGAGCAGGTCGTTTTAAATAACATATGGAACATTGTAGATATAATGTACATATATGGCATGAGGATATATGTAGATGTTATTTTTAAAAGTTGGACACCAAGAAAAGACTTGGTATCAATGGTTTTAAGAAGATAAGCAAATATTCCTAGTGAGCATGTTCGAGGAGAATTGAACCCGGACGAATGGGGTGCATGACAGCAACCCCTGTCACTACGCTATGAGCGTATCTGTAGATGTTATTTTTTAAGTTTCAACTAGCATTGTTTGCATAGTTTTAATAGTCGAAGCAAGAGTTCTATCTAGTAATAAAGTTGATGGACGAAAATTAAAACCTCATGAAAAGTTGAGAGAAGAAATATAAACTTTTTCGTTAGTTGAAAATAGTGTCTTTTGCGTTTTTCCCCCTCAGAAACGTATAGGAGAGAGCTGTCTATTTTGCGTTCACATAGAGAGAAAATCATGTACTATACGTAACAGCATGACGTGCCAGGTAATCCATGTAAACTTTTTTATGCCTAATCACAGAAATTTCTGGACTAAAACAGATGCCCAATTTTGTCTGGACCGATCAGAAGCTCTCATCATCAGGTATTCAGGTCCCTGATGTGCCGTCAGTTTACACCATGATCAACTTTAGCATTATATTGCCGCCAAGTAAACGCTAGCATGATGTAGTTTTCATCTTGTAATCAGCATCAAGTGCATCTCTCTATACACAGCCATGCATATACCCCCATTTGATTCCATAAAACATTCCCATTCAGTTTCATGTAATTCAGATTTATGTACAATTTGATTGCATTCAATGTACAATTTTCTGAATACCCCCATCTTCTCTGCATTTGATTCCATTCAGTTTACATTTTTTTCCAGACGAGAATGGGACACACATAACAATTTCTGCATTTGAATGTAATATGTACAGGGTAATGGAGTATGCATAATTTTTACAACAGATGTGGGGGCACACAAGAAAGCCCCAGTCAGGGTCATGATAACATGGAGAATAGCTACCTGAGCCTGATCATCGTTTCAACGAATTGCAACACAATGGTGGACTAATATATTAACCCCAACTAATGAAGATATCCTTTTTGGAGTTTCGACGACAGTGCAGCTGCATCAAGTTCCACTGGTAGGAGATTCAAGAAAATCTGCAGAGGATTATAATCATATTTCATTATATCCCTAAGCACGAGAAAACGTTATCTACAACCTCTCTAAAATGTAACTCTGATAATGGCAACATATAGGGATATTATTGATCATTGGGTAACCTAACATCATTAGCATAGATAATGGTAGTGGAATAAACTGTTCATAACTAGTAAGTAGTCAATAAATCTCCTTCTGTTGTGACTGTTCTGCTAGCAATCATATTGCAGTTGTTTTTCTATAGAAACATTGTTTATCTATGAAAGTTACGACAAAAAGCAATTTGCAGGACATTAGCTAATTGCACAACTGAACACCATTGTACTTACCATTTAGTGTTTTCATCAGCATCTCCATTGTGCAAACTCCCGTTAGAGTCCTCTTCTGTATCTTCTTTGTCAAAACTCCCGGTAGCACTCTCGTACCCATCTTCTTTGAGCAAGCTCCCAGCAGTATTGTCATCCACATCTTCTTTGTGCAAACTTTCTCTAGTATTCTCATCCGCATCTTCTTTGTGTAAACTCCCATTAGTGCTTTGTGAAGTAGAGGATGGCTCCCTGGAATTTCCAGGGTTATGTAACATGTTTGAAAAACCCTGCCACAATCTTGCCGGCAGAAAAGGCGCACTTTCTTGTTGCTCCTCAGATGGCACTTCATACACACCAGCCGAACCCGGATTCAACTCAGAGAACCTCACAGCTCCAAGAAGTCTCTCGGGGAGCTCTGATTCGGTCTGACCCTCAATAAGGAATGCTAGATCTACTGTTAGCGTCTGCACGTAACCAAACGCCAAATGAACAATTGCGTTTGCGACAATAGAAGATCCAACATCCACATCGATTTCAATGAAGTTTGATCCCTGAGTATACTTGCACGTAAGAGCCCTACCCAATATGCAAATAGCTTGTTCTCCCACAGCTGTTCGAACAATCCAAGGCCCTCTAACTATGTTCGCGATTAGCTTAAGCCTAGATTTCCGGAAAGCCTCATCTCCTTTCAAGAACTGATCCATAAGTGAGCCTTCCGGTACCGGCTCCAGCGACACAAAGTAGAATATAGCACTGTAATTATCCTTGCTGGGCAGTTGCAGGTTGAAAGCCCAGACGAAAGGCTGATTACCACGCAAAACCTCGCCGTCGATGGCTTTCCTCACACGATGACTCTTGTTATTCAGAATCTCGCATATCTTCGCGGGGCTTTTCATCCAATCAAACCCGAGAGGCTTTAGAAGATACTCCCCACCTGGTATCTTCACCTTGGTTGCAAGATAATCAGGGCCTCTGACCATGAATGTGTCCCCTGGGGGAGTAGCCCAGCCATTGGGGCAGTTGTCAGGGTCAAGAAATGGGACTGCTCCTCCTGACTTGACATCCTCCATCCACTGATGCTGAACCTCACCATTGGAACAATCCATCTATACATACAAAAAGTGCTAACTCTAGTTAGTTATTACTACTCAAAGAAACCAAACTGACAGCAATGTAAATGGACAGAAAATAGATGCTCAGAAGATTCAGAGTTGTAGATTGCAGATGTAAGCAAGAGCAGAACACACACAAAAAAAAAGAACCAATTTTGCCCCCCAAATCGGGTCCGCCTCTTCAATTGCACAAACTACATAATCAAATTAGCCACACAGGCAGGTTCGATCTAGCTAGAGTGATCGAATCGAATCAAGAACAGCTCACGCACACTCTGATCTCTAAAGTCTGAACTAAAAAACAAAAAAACAAGAGAGAACAATACAGCGAGCAGCCGGAGAATCAAGCAATCAAGTTAGTAGCTTTCTCGATTGAACACCGTGATTTCAGCAACATATCCTCTCCGGATTGCACCCGGAAACGCATCTAATCAAGAACCCGGACACCCTCCAAGCAGAAGCAAGTCAAGCATCGGCAAACAAGACAGAGCTCACCTCACCTGTGGATCTTGGTTGGGCCTTCGGGGTGGTTGCGGATGAGGAGGACGAACAGAGGCGAGCGTTGTGGAAGGGAGGGAGAGAGAGAGAGAGAGAGAGAGAGAGAGAGAGAGAGAGATCTTGGATGCTTTCTTGGTGTTGCCTTTGCTTGCTCGCCTCAGCTGCTCTTTGTTCTTCTTCCGGGGAAGGAGAGAAGGGGATTGTGTTGCGTAGGGGGATTAGCAGAGCAGGCAGGCTTAGCGTGTGATGTTTGGCATTATTGGGGAAAACAAAACGGGTTTATTACTATTACCCCGTTAAAATATAGCAACATTTAAACGGACGCCAAATACTATAAATCTGAACGAGCAGTAATCTCTCTGTCCCATAAAAAACCAACCAGAATTCATAGTACACATGAACTATCCAGATTTATTATACAACAAAACGTTATCTGTGTTCATCATATCATATTTTAAGTTGTGTTTATTGGATGAAGCGAATATTTTTTTTCCTTTTAGTGTTACCCATTACTTATAATTTACTGCTTAACGTTTTTGGCACGAAGTTAAAATGTAGTGCTGTTTTTTTTTTATTTTTCTTTGCATGTCCACGTTGTTTTGTGCTACATATGGCTGAGTAGCTGAATAATTTATGATTATTGTTAACAGTTATAAATGAATGATTAAATTATAAAGTGAAATGGATTTAAACAATATTGTAAGAAATTCACATGTATATATATATTTTTAAAATAATTATACCATTTATGAGTTCAAAAAACATGTGGTTTAACATGTTATTCATACTATAAAAAACATGTTATGTCTACTTATTTATCACGTTTTGTATTATCCAACCCGTCAAAATCCTAAAACTCGGTTTTTTCTTCTTCTCTTTCCATGTCCTCTTTCTCTGCTTTTTAAAGCTTGGTTTTGCGATGACTCACCTCTAGTTGGAGAAGAAAACGAAATAGATAACATAGAAGGAAAAAAAAGATTGATGAGAGGAGAGCATATATACCAATAAAAAAAATCTTTGATATAAAATTTGATATTTAATATTTAGGATAATCTTTAGGATAAAGTTCTCGTAGAAATTTAATATTCAGGACAATATTTGGTATACAATTTAAAACTTTGACCATAATCTCACATGCTTAAGTTCATATAAAAAATGTGATTTGCCACAATGTCATACCCTTCTTAAAATTTTACAAAATATTTTTACAAATATTGATGACTATCAAATCTTTAGGAAAGCCAGCAAAGTACAGCAAACTACAGGCAAATATAGCCGTTCATTTTCCATTTTCCATTGGCCATCGCATTTGTGAAGAAAAAAAAATAAAAAAAAAATAAAAATCCCCTTGCCCTATTCCCCACCCACCACCAGCTCGCCGCTCCTCGCCGCCGCCGCCGCGGGGCGTCATTCTCTCCGGTGCGCCGCCGCCGCGTCGGGCCCCGAAATCCGCCTCCCCCCACCACTGTTCTTCGAGAGAGGCCTCCCGTTAACTCGACGGCTGCGCCCGCCCAGTCGGAGATGAAGCAGGTGAGTTTCAACCAAACCTCGAGCCGTTCGGAGATGGGCGGATTGGAGATCCGTTCGGGATTTGACGATCGGTTTCATTCCCTCCAACTAACCCGTCCAATTTCGTCTTGATTTTGCTCCTCTTCGGTGGAAATTTCGTCTCCCCAGTTTAGGTGCCCCCTGCTGTGTAGTGGCTACAAATGTTCCTCTCGCAATTTCGTAGTGCTTAGAGTACTTTTTGGTATATTATGCAAGTGATTTCAGCATGCAGCTAACTGTATCTCTTTTTAAAAGGAAACGGATTATGTTTGGTTAAGAGTTTGAGTTTGTAACCATGCCAAATCTCCGCTGTATCAGACATAGCATCAGAATATGGTTGAATGTGCCTTTTAGGATTGTATGCATCAAAGTTGTCTTTAATATATATATACTGACTTAATCATACTTATTAACAAGTCTGAAGTATAATCTGTTCATCGAAGTCCCTGCCTTGCGTATTCCTGAGCTTCATTGTTACTATACTACTCAAAGAGGTGGACTGCGCGTTTTTTGTTTCGTGCTCGTGTTATGTAACCAGCTAATCATTTTTTTTTTGCAGGTGTCCTGTAGTGTTGTAAATAAATGTTTGGCCTACAATCCATGCCTCTCAAGAAACTACTATCAACGGTCTCATACCGTGAAGTTGCAAAGATCACAAGCTGGCCAGATAATTTTGCCTCGCAAATTGAGGAAATCTACGCTATGGCAGACCAACTTCACTCAGAGGCAGATTGCAACGCATTGTTCCTCTGACCTGAGTACCTCCTGCAGAGAAGAATTGCCCAGCTATTTAACAGTTAATGTTTTGAAAGATCAGTCATGTGCAAGACAAGGAATCTTTCGTAAAGTGATTGTCATCTTGAATCCTAATTCTGGATTTCGCAGCTCTCGTGAAGTTTTCTACCAGAAAGTACAACCAACATTGGAGGTAAATGTTCCTGTTTTTCATTTCCAGAAAGTTCTTTCAGTTGAACTCGCAAGAAAAGGGTTTTATTTCAAGTGCAACCTGAAAATTTTAATTTCCTTGAAATCCAGTGGAAAGCATTGAAGTTTGTAATACGTGTGATTTTAGATGGAGGGGAAGACATTTTAGAACCTTTAATGTGTTATTTATATATTTTTGCATTTGAATTTTGATTTGGTGCAGCTTTCAGGCTTTATGATGCAAGTTGTTGAAACAGCGTATGCTGGTCATGCACATGCTCTTGCTTCTACTGTTGATCTCAGCACATGTCCTGATGGTAATATCAATTTTGTATCTGTATTTGCAGTTACGTATTGTACCCTTCTATTTCACTATTTGATTTATTATTATTTTATTGTTTACAGGTATCATATGTGTTGGAGGTGATGGAATTGTGAATGAGGTTATCCTCTTTCCTATGCTTCTTTCTTTCCACAATCTGATCTGCTGCTCTGGTAGCTTATTTTGCGTTATTGCTCCTAGGTGTACCTTGTACTTGTTATTTGCAGTCAATACATATAAATTCATATTTGTTAAATGGGCCTGTTGCCACTGCTCTTACAAAATTTAGCACTTTTAGCTCATAATTGCATTTCCATACTGCTAATTAGATATTCTTTATAATTAGTACAGGTTTTGAATGGTCTACTTGGTAGAGATGATTTGGAAGAGGCTATTCAACTGCCAATTGGGATAATTCCGGCTGGTTCTGAGAACTCGTTAGTGTGGACTGTTCTTGGTATCAGAGATCCTGTTTCCGCTGCAACTACTTTAGCCAAGGTAATTTGGTAATGTTATATTCAAATTTGTGCGACATATTAATATGTAAGGCTATTATTGGAATAAAGTTTCACACAGGCACCGTTCGAATCCACTGAAAAGAGTGGATTAAATTTTGGATTAAAGTGGCATGCTTTTCAAACTGATAAACGGTGCGTTTCGTGCGAAAACTTTTTATATGAAAGTTGTTCTAAAATATCAGATTAATCCATTTTTCAAGTTTGTAATGATTAAAACTCAATTAATCACACGTTATTACCACCTTCTTTTGCGTGAAACACTTAATCTTCATCTTCAGGAGATTCAAACACCACCACAATGTGCAAATTAGAGAGGGTATACTTAAATTATGTACTCCAAGAAAACTCGTTTTAAGGCAGAGATAAATATAGTGCATCATTACCATATGCTTTTAATTTGGATTTGTTTTGGACAGTCCAGTTTATGTCATCACATATTTTGGCAGTAGAAGGTCCTGCATGATACTTACCATATTTTCTCTTTATTTCTTTCCGCTCCCATCGGATGGCCCAATAAGCCAAAGAATAAGCCAAATTTTGAATTTTCAAACTTAATTTTGAGATTGATTTTGAGATATTTTTAACGTAGTTTTTTTTCAGCATTGGCTTTTAAGTTACAAAGAACACATATATAAAAGTTTTACCTACAAATTTATTTTTATTCCCTAATAAGCCGTTTTGGCTTATTAGAAAAAAAGCCAACCGATGGGGGCCTTCATTTATTATATATCTGTATTCTTCTGAGCATGTGCACCATTGATTTTCAAGCTAGAAAGTTTACGACCTAAACAATAGTATAAAAAATATTTTATATTTTTAAAGTTCACTACTGGGATAAGGATTTTCGTTTGGTCTCACATAGGAAATGAATCTCATTCTGTAGGGTGGTATCACTCCAATAGACGTGTTCTCTGTCAAACGGACCCAAGCTGGAATTACTCATTTCGGTTTGACAGCTTCCTACTATGGTTTTGTGGCTGATGGTAAGTCTTCATTCTTCTGCACAACTGCACATGTAATTCTTGAAGTGATACATTTGAATTTGATACCTTCATTCTATTTTAGATAATTCAATCATTAGATGATGTTACTCTATGTAAGAAATGAGCTAGACAATCGTATGCAAGCTAGGGCCTACATGAATTCACTGTAGATTATGTTAGTAAGAAAGGAAGAAAGGTGAAAATAGCGAATACTTATAATCATGCAATCTATTTAGGATTACAGCAAGAGATAAAAGGTTATTCTTGTCTGAGGAATTGAAATACTCCTCGAAGCACTTCTTGTCTAGGGACCTATCACTTTATAGTTTTGATGAGGCGTCTAAACATAACGATTCATTGCTAAAATAAATTATTGCTTTAAAATATCAGAATGATACCACACATATCATTTATGCCACTGTTTGTTACTATATGTGGTTTTTGCTTAATTACTATATGATTTGGAAATATAGTCCACAATTTCATATTTTCATGTTGGCTCTTATTTTACTGCTAACTACTAATGTTTTCTTCTATATACCGTCGTCGCATACATTTTTGAACTAACTTATAGCTTCATTCAAATGTCTCTTTTCTTCCCAGTTCTGCAACTATCTGAAAAATTCCGTCTGCACTTTGGCCCCTTCCGTTATGTCATCGCTGGTGTTCTTAAATTTCTATCATTACCTCAATACAGATTTGAGGTCAACTATCTCCCTTTGTCACCCAGGAGAAATCACAAATTACTACCTGTGACTGAAAAGTGTAATGATCATCTTGCTGCTGATAGCAGTGCTGAAGATAACTGGGTTACTAGGAAAGGAGAATTTCTTGGCATTTTTGTGTGCAATCATTTCTGCAAGCCTGCACAGGGATTACTCTCACCGGTTATCGCGCCAAAAGCTCAGCATAATGACGGCAGTCTAGACTTGATTCTTGTCCATGGAAGTGGAAGACTCAGATTATTCTGCTTCTTTATCGCCTATCAGTTTTGCTGGCATCTTCTTCTGCCTTATGTGGAATATGTCAAGGTATTGGATATTCCCCCATCTTTTTGATTAATCTATTACGAGCCTGTTCTAGGCAGCCAAGATTTCCCTTAGTCTTGAGCCTCGTTAGTTGTATCCACCACAACAATCAATCTATCATCAGACTATCGTGTTAAACCACTAACTCTAGCAATCTTTCATACCCAAATATTTGCAAATATTGCTTCTTGCAGGTAAAACATGTTAAGGTCAGGCCAATTGGCAAAACCCACAATGGGTGCGGTGTTGACGGAGAGCTTATTCTTGGAGAGGGCCAAACAGAATGGCAGTGCTCACTGCTCCCAGCACAAGGCAGATTGCTTGGCCGGCATCGCAGCGCATCTGAGTAGATTTCTAACCACCAAAGGTCCAAATTCAAGTGTCAAACTGAGGAACCACTTCAATGTATGAATTAAATTAAATCGGAGAAATTATGCATCAGAGAATGCTTCTTTCTACCATTATATTTCACTATTTTTTGAGAGGTTGTAAATGAGGGGAAATTATGGGTTTTGGGGAGCTTCTAACCCCCACCATTGGCCAATTGTATATTCTGAAATGAAAAAAAAAAGAAGAAAAATCTCTACTTCTGACTTTACATGGAAACACAGAAGCAAATGTAATTTTAAGCTTACACCAAGTCATTGTTCTGATCGTTGATCTGAAGTATGGTTTGCATACCATGTTTTATTTTGCAAATGCATGCAAGAAATTTTGATTGTTCATGCTATATCTAGTTTCGATTAGAGTTCATCGGCACGACAATGTTGTAGCCTTTGCACGCTAACCTGTGTAAACTTGAATATCTGGTTCATTCAAATGTTGGAGCAAAACAAATCATCGCAAAGTAACTTATCAATTATCAGATAATGGGGACCACGCATTACTAACTTCTGGACACCTTGTTTTTTTTTTTACCAAGTTAGGCTAGTGTTTGGTTCACTGCCACACTTTTCTAGCTCATGTCCCTACACGTCATACTTACAAACTTTTGCCACACTTGTGGCCGACAAATTTGGTGCCACAAAAACTATGGCATGCCATAAAATGTTTAGCAAAATAGAGCATCCAACCAAGCATGCCCTTTGTGACTAAAATTCCTTGTCAGTAATTCCAGGGTGTGCATCCAAAAATATTTTCGCAGATTGATCGTTCTGATGATTACCAGATGATAATTGACAATGCATAAAATAAATTTGGGCCAAACATGGGGTGACATTGACCAATGATCCAATTAAATAGGCACACATACCTGTACAGACTGTAGTCACAGCTAAAGAATCTCATGAGAAGAGAACAGGATAGGCCACATGCTAATGCACAACTTCACATGTTTGGTTCTGACATTGCAAATCTCACAATAACTATACTGGGAAAATTTTGCTACATGTTACAGTCCTAAGTTCATCTAGTCCACCTGATGGCTGATGTTCAGAACAAAAGAAAAAAAATACACAAAACATGAGCAGTTTATTCTTGATTACCTCAACCTGAGACCATCAGCAACCTAATCATCAGCTGATTACATGAGTATGATCTTTGACAGAGACAGTCAGGACTAGGAGCTGGTGGCCAAGAAACTAATGCTTTACAATGGTAGTAACAAGCCCTGCTTGAACATGGGAAATGTTCATAGAATGGAGAATTTTTTTCCCCGGATCCATATCAAGCTCTGGCAGTTGAGTTTGTTGGTGATAGGCCAGTCGGTGAGTTGCATGTGTCAGGATCCCGTTTGCCCCTGGATCTCTTCTTTGCTTTGAACCTGGACTTGGCCATCAGCGTGTCCACTGTATTTGCAAAATTACCTATCGCCATTGCGATCAGTAGGACTCCACAGACCACAACCTGTGAGAGCATGCATAGGTTATGACACGGGTTAAGTATGATAGAATCTTGGTTGTATTAAGAGCCAAAAGTTCTTACCTGCCACTCAGGGACGATGCCTGTATGAGCAGTACGAAGAAGTAAAAATCCAACGTAACCCTCAAAACCCTATACAAGTATGTGCGAAATCAGATAATTGACTTGAGTGTCTACACATTTATCAGAAGATTATAATTTAGTGTTACATAAAGTCAGCATGTGCTAAGTAGATCGCATTACCATTTAGATAATAGACCTGGATACTACCCTTCATAGGAATTTTCAGCACAGCATTGTGTATTTACCAAAAAAAACTAGAAGTATCACAGGATAAAAAAAAAAGAGAACCGATCTGTCCTTGATGAGGTTAACTAGGTATTGGTATGCTCAACACCTGCTATCATTAAAAAAAAAAGTACCTGCAACAGAAAGAGGACAGGGCATAGTAGCAACAATTGACCTTCAACACCAGCAGTCTCTCCCCACACAACGTCCATTCTTCTAGCCTACCAAAAAAGAAAATTCAGTTATGCAAAATTACTTGGACTAAAATGAAGGAAATGACATGATCTCACAGGTAAGTGCATATAGCCACATGATGCTTGAAATGCCATAAAAAAGCAAATAGATACCAGAAAGTTCTTTGGAACAGCAGGAACATAGAGTATCAGTTTGTTTTTTGATCAGAAAAATATGTTACCTTTCCTAAAGCAATCCGAGTATATAGTCTTTGGCGTTGATATCTGTTCTGCAACATCATGGCGAAACCTTGCATTATGGCCCAGCACAGAAACAGCTCGACGCCTCTCTGTGAATAAGTATACAGGTTATGCACATTCATTATGTACAGTATATAGTGGAAAGAAAAAAAATTGCATACCTGTTTTCGAGAACAATCAGGTTGTCCCTTTATCTCCCATGTTAGACTAATAAGAGACATCAGCATGGCACAATAGTGATGGCACATCCACCTTAAGAACAAAAGCAATTTCCATAAGTTCCACATGTATCAGAGTATCCAGTGGTATTGGTGCTTACATGTATAGACATATAGTGACTAGAAAAGAGCAGACAAAATCTTAACAAGCAAAGAAAGGCTGGCCACCTGCATGTTATAAGTGGATAGACAGTTTTTGAAATTTGAACAACACAAAATATTTAGCATCATTTACAGTCTATATAAGATAACTTAAGGCTTCAGAACATTGAAATGTTCCCTTGAAATAAGAGGTGAAAATATTGGTAACTACTGACATGCAAAAATTAGAGAACAAGAATGGCTACACCCTCTTCATTTTTGTATATGGGCAATTCCAAATTTTGTTTTTTTTTCCCCTTACCAAGGACGGATATCACTTCCATTAACTCGTAATATGTTCTCTCGCAGAGCTAAAGTTGTATACAGAAACAACAACCAAGCCTGTAAAATATAAGGTATGCTCACTGTCAGTTTAGTCTTTTGGCATGGCATAAAACATAAGATAGGTTAAACTGTTTGCAATGTCCATGAATAAGCATCAGTCTACCTGGTATAGCTGAACTGGCAATACTGGGAAGCATCCATTCCATAACCATGACCGGAGTACCAACAGAATCATTGGGAAACCAAGAAAAAGCAATGCAGTCCTATCCTGGAAGAAAGGGGGAGGTTTATTTATGAACAGGACAAAGAGTTATTGCTGTTTATGGTTATCTATCAGTATACTCTAAGGTGATCACTCACTGAATCGTTCAAACAATATTGTAGGAAATATTCTCATTTAAAATTCTTGTAACAATCTTGGCCTCAGTTTGCACAGAAAGGCTGCTAATTTTGGTGTCATCACCATTGCAAGCTTGAAAAGGCATTTGAGGCAAGAGTTTTTTTTTTCTACAGGGATAGAACATCAACAAGATGGATGATAGAAAAGTTTGGAGGTACAGGATTTCTATGAAAAATTAAAAGTTACACTGCTGAAATCGCCAGGTGTTTCACTTCCACTAGGAAGAGTGAAGAAGTCATGGGTGCAATTCCTTGATTGTTATGTTTGTCATTTATGTAAATTTAGATAAGCTATGATGTTATAGTTACATAGACAAATAATAGTAGATTAGTTTGACTTGTTTATTAACTTGAAATTAATTAATTGATCACAATTTGCACAAGTTAGGCTTATGTATTGACTTGACAAAACAGTTTCAAAGAAAACATAACGAATTAAAGTAGTATGTGAATTCAATCGATTTGTATATGAATTCTCTAACACCTCAGTACATCTCAAGCTAACTTAAAATTATTTGAGGCTCATGGTAAAAAAAAACTTGAACACTAAAATGTGTGCAGAATTATTATTATTTTTTTTGTCTAGCAGTGCAGAATTTACAATTGTAAAAGCTTTGGACAACACAAAGACACTCTTTTCTTCTAAGGTACTTGGATCAATGTGCAAATTAAATTCCTGAACTCTTTATCAAATGGAAGCTCAAAGACACCAGAATGCCACACCCAAAATTTTCATTTCAAAACACAACTTGATGGCTATAGATTATCATCAATAGTACAATTGTAACATACCCTGTAGCTATTATACTCTTCCTTCACCTTGAGCTGCACCTCCTTCCTCGGTGCCCGCAGATTTACTGGTCCCAGGAACATCTTCAGGAAAGTACCTTCCAAGCCCAAAAACCAAAGCAAAAATATCAGAATCCCACATCGCCAAAAAAAAAAGCAAAGCAAAATATCAGAATCCCACATCAAAAAAAAAAGGAATAAGGACAGAAACCAAGAACAAGTTCAAACTTTTTTTTCCATAAAAGGGAACAATTACCATGTGTCTTGCTCGGGAGCAGCGCCGCAATGTCTCCATCGCTTATGAGGCACGTCGCTCGATCCAAGTCCTCCTCAACCTGCTCTCAAGCACACACCCACCCAATTCCACATCCACAGTCACATCAGCAACCACCAAATGCATACGCACATGCACATTGTCATGATCAATCAGCAGCAGATACACATATAGCTGACAGAATGATGATTCAGAGAGGCATGAATTCCCATGTTCCCACACATCTCCACACTCCACAGCCGCATCTAGAAACTCACAAAAACTCGAGATTGTTTTTTTTAAAAAAAAATTACAGCATACCAAACAACCCAAACAGCACGCAGATCTCTCCCCAGTGATCCGGCGCCCACGAAGCATCCGCCCACGAAGCCCGAGGCGCACCCACCCACCCCGGCGATCCACTCCGCCACCGACGCACCCCACGCACCCGCGCGCGAGCGCGCGCGCGCACCAACGAGGCGAAGCAGCAGCAGCGGTAGAGAGTACCTTGTCGCTGTCGGCGTGGGCGGCGGCCTTGCGGAGCCTGGCGAGCTCGGCGCCGAGCGCGGCGGCGCGGCGGCGGAGCGCCTCCTCCTCCGCCGACGACCTCGACAGGAGGCCCGCCGCCGCGTCCTGCAGCTCCCTCGCCTGCTCCGCCACCCTCGCCGCCGCCGCCGCCGCCTCCTCCTCCCCCATCTCGCCGCCTCTCTCTCTCTCTCTCTACACTGCTCGCGCGCCTCGCTTTCTCTCTCTCTCCTCTATAGAGAGAGAGGAGGTGGTGGTGGAGGCGGGGGCCAGAGGCTGACAGGTGGGGCCCACGCCGACGAAGGGAGGAGGAGAGGAAGATAGAAGATGGTTTGGTGGTTTGATTTGGAAGGAATCAATCCCCCTGATGGAGGTTAGTTTAATGGGGTGTTTGTGATGTGATTTGGGAGCTTAATTGTTTAGTGTAAAGGGGGAGGAAGAAAAAAGGAGTGCTGGGCATGTTTGTAGATTTGGATGGGATGGATGATTAGGATTTGATTTGTTGTTTCTTGCTTTTTTTTCCTTTTCTTTTTGACATGTTTAGTTGTTTTTTGCTCTCTTTTATTAAGGTGAGTTTGCCTTTTTTTTTTTTAGGGATGAGATTTTTTTTTCTTTTCTTGTGGGGGTTTATTTGGGGGCACAAATGGATAGCATGACGCATTGGGTGTGATTTTCTTTTGTTGATGTGGGTATGTACCCTAGCACGGTGTTATATGGCTTTATGTTTTTAAAGGTTGGTGTGCTTACGTTGGATATTAGGCATATGTCATCCAAATTTGTATATGCGTCTGAGTTGTAAATGTGCATGAAGCGATAGCTATGGTGGATAAGATGGTCGTTTTTGTGCTTTTTTTAGTCGTATACATAACAACCTTATAAAAGATGGATAGTATCGTGTGAAAGAAAGTTTTATAACTTGTCTAATATTACACAGCTTTTTACATGAGTACGTAACAAATTGCTATAATATGGTTAGTGTCATGATGAGAAAAGTTTCATGGCTTGAGTACACCATTTATCGTATTTGCACACGACAACACGTTAAGATGGTGCAAATGGTTGGAGTGATATTAGGACGAGGGAGAAGGTGAAGCAATTGAAGATGGCATTTATCTTGTTTTGCTTGGATTGTCACATTAATTTTGCGTAGTGGTTATACTAAATAACCACTACAAAATGAATGTACAAATTTACATAGAGATTGTCAGTGGAGAGCAATAATTTGAAGCATGCCAACCCTGGGGACACACTATGGCCAAAGTTATGACAAAAATAAGTTTAGAATGTATTTGAATAATCCATAATAATTTCAGCAAGTTATCTGAACTTTGGAAAGCCACTCCAATATTACATTTTTTATCAACTAAAAATATTTGTTAGGGATGACATGTTCATCACGAGCTAATAAAAATTTATTTCCCTAGCAATTTTTTTTAAATTTTAGTCAACTGACTATTTGGGAGTACTATAGAAGTACTTGGTTAATTGCCCTCCTACAAATTTACCTGTTCAAAACAAGAACTAGGTTGGTCATATTGATTTGACACCTAATCATCTAGATCTACCTAACAAACTTTCAAGGACTAATAGTAAAAAAAAAGGAGAGAGACTGACACATCACAAATCAATGCTCACTAAACACCATAAGATACTAGAATGAATTATGTCATGGCTAGGGCACATATAGATGGCATATACACAACATCGACTCTTTAGAACAAGCCCATAAAGAATGACACTCAAATAGTCCCAATGTTCGTACCAAATGTTCTTTTCTCTTGTTTTCCTTTGCAGAAGACGACATCTCATCTGTTGATCCATGTTTGGACGGTGACAGATGCAAAGGACCGCAGACAATGTGTTTGTTAGCTAGCTGTTCAATTATCAGCATCAACAGGGTAGTAGGCGATAACCATCAGTGGTACGATGATGATTAATTGGCAGGAAAATTAAAAACAACGAAATTAAAATGGAGAGGATAAGGCAGGGTAAAATCCACAGGAGTGGAGGCGGATTAATGGAGCTGCTAATCTTTCGGCCATGGGTTCATGTATTAATAATGTCTGTTGTTGCTATCTACTGCATAATGTATTTTGTGTTTCATGTATTAATATTTAATAATAACCGTAATGTATATTATATTTTGCTAGCTGATGCATGCCTTATCCGTTCGCCGTTTGCTACTGGTTGCTACTATTTTCTCAAGTACAAAAGTAGAAAAAAATAATAAGAAAGAACTATAAAATTTATACTAAATGCTATTTTAATTAGATGGTATAAGATTAAATGTACTGGTTATAGGACAGAACCAAAGTTAATATCCAGAATAATTGACTTAACTTGTTCCTATTGTTCTAGGCGCACAAGAATAAAGTGGCATCAAATTTGGACTTGAGTTAGTGTCAGTCAATTGGTCTTACCCTAGTATATGAAAAATAATCCCTGGTTTTCTTGAAAAGGTTACTGACTTGGTAGGTTAGATTTATTTTTTCTATTCTAAAACAGCAGGTGATTAACAGGAACCTGGAGGTAATGGTCATTGGTCAACACTCCGTGGAGTGACTTTCACTCCATCAGTATGAAAAAACACACAATTTGTCCCCCAGGTTATTGAATCTAATAGTGTTTAATTATTTAATTAACACAAGAGCACTGCCTACTGGCACACTCCTACAAAAGAACTTGAAAGGAATTGAATACCTGTTGTGTTAATTTCAGAAACGGCATCAATCACTTGTTTACCATGATGTCACCTGCATGCATACATGTCAACCTGTTTACCAAAAAGAAGAAAAACAAGGTTGCCTGGAAAGTACAAACAGACCGTTCCAAGACGCCCATGCTGAGGCTTATATGCTTGATATGAATGAATTTTTCATTGGACAAACTGATTTGGAGAGCTTGGAGAAGATTTTGATTTGGAGAGACATCAAATTTAACTATAGAGTTATATCTATAGAAGTTGTAGCTAGACGGTTAACAAGTAGTACTCTGTACAGTAAAAAAATATATTTGTCATTTAGAATAAGATTTGATAAAACATTTAAAATTGGATCATCAATAATAATGTTGCTAGTTTAAAAACAAAGGAAATAATGTACGCAGATTTGTCTCGAAAATACTGCCGTAATATCACAAATCTATTAGATTTTATAAACTTACTTTAATATAAGATTGAGTATCGAAACTTCAAATTTTGACCAAATCTTGTCTCAAACATCAATATAACCAGAGGAAGTAACTTTTTATGGCGTCAAAAAGGAATACTATGGCAATAGAGGCTTCAGGAGTGGATATCCTGTTATCCTGTAGCTGGGTTTGGTTGTATCCATTCATTGGATGTTTGCCCATTTTTATGGCATGAAGTGTACATGCTCTTCAAAATATGTTCATATCGTCTACGGATTAAGTAGTAAATGTTTGCCCATTTTGTGGTAGCACACGTGGTGTGCCGTCCTGTGGTATCTGCAAATGGTCTTTTTATAAAGATGTAGGACCACCATCTTGTGTATTTATACTGATCAACATTCATGGATGCAAGTGGTGGTAGAATGTATGCTGTTTGCTCAAAATATATGAAAGTCTGTTCTTGTTGATTACACTATTGACTTATTGCAATGATGTACTCCAATATGCAAGTACAAAGACTTTACACGGGGGGTTGCAACTTGCAATTGTGTGTTGAAACATACCCAAGGAAAAAGGTTGCCAGTACTTGTAGGCTGTGTTTAGTTCCTTCCAAAGTTGGAAGTTTGGGTTGAAATTGGTACGATGTGACTGAAAAGTTGTGTGTGTATGACATGTTGATGTGATAGAAAAAGTTGGAAGTTTGGATCTAAACACAGCCATATTCAAAAAACAAAAGGACCATATGCAAACTTCTAGGGAACCAAGTCCATGCAATTTTGTACCAACTTATTTTTCTTTGGTATAAAAATCAGCATAAAAGATTAAGGAAAAAAAAAGGGAAGAAGAAAGCCTATCCACTTCCCCAGGAAAAAAGTATTCCATTTTAAATTACTCGTCATTCTAGCTTTGTTATAAGTCAAACTTTTGTATCTTGGTTATTATTTTCTAAAAAAAAAACTCGTATAGTTTGACTTAGGAAAAAAAAATCATGTACTCCCTCCGTTCCACAATGTAAGTCATTCTAGCATTTCCCACATTCATATTGATGTTAATGAATCTAGACATATATATGTCTACATTCATTAACATCAATATGAATGTAGAAAATGCTAGAATGACTTACATTGTGGAACGGAGGAAGTATATACCAAATGGAGCCTAACCAACCCAGTCCCAGTGAGACAGAAGAGTAGAGCTCAGAAGTAAAAATGAATGGGCCATATGCAGTTACTCAAGCCTGAAACAAGTCCAGCAAAAGCAGAGTTCACAGGCACAAGTTGCATGAACAGCTCTCCTGCATCTTGCAATAACGGGTGTCAGCTTGCCATCTGTTCATCATTTACATCCAATTCTGAATTTTCTGATCGGCTAATCAAGACGGCTACGGCTACAGAGCAAGATGCAGGAACCATTTATCAGATAATTAAAGCTGGGAAAAAGTTGAATGTAGCACTTGATTGGATCATCCCTGCTCAGCAATGCCATGAGTTCAAACATTGGAGCAATGGAACAGTGCACAGCCATTTATGGCGGTTGTTAGATGAACACTTCTAGAGTGTGACACCAAAGCAAACGACAGCGCCAACTGAAATGGCTGGCATTCATTTTCTGTTGCATTAAGACATTGACAACTGATCAGTTTTTCAGTACTAACAGATAGGAGTAATAGATAGTGAGGAACAATCATCAAGCTAGTGGTCTAATCAAGCTAACCAGGCATTCAAGCCCAGGACAAATCTTAAGTAGCATGAAGCTATCTGGTCTACCAGAAATGTACATACAAAATTTGTGGAAGATTTCCTCACTAAAATGCTGAGACATATATGGTACACTCACAATGATATGATCATGCAAATCTTTGTACAAAGCTCAAAATTTACACATAAGGTGCAGAACATGGCCACACCTGGAAAAAACAGGTAAAGCTATTTTACAATATAAATAAGATACGCAGATGCAGTTTTGAATCCCCCCCCCCCTTCCCATTAGAAGCTGCCAGGAGCTTGTTCATGAACATAATGTCCAACGTCTGGTATCATCGAAATTCAGAAGCTTCATTGAGTTCATGGAATACTTGCAATAGGGCATGTTGCCTCTCTTTATGAAGGAGATTGAAAATGAATAGATGATGAGTTGGCTTTTCCGGGAGGAAGACGGCCACTGTCATG